GAAACCTTAAAGGCACATTTTTAAGAGTTTATTAAAATCATTATTTTCCTTTCATTTAGGAAAATTTATAAGTGATTTATATTATCACAATACTGCTTATATGTATTTGAAAATACACCGGCACGCTTGCTGTTACTTGAAACAATATTTTAGTTATTGTGGTTTCATCAATAATACATAAATATCTCCATAATCACATATAACCTATGGTAAATATGTGTGATCTAAACCTATGACTGACGTTATTATCTGTAGGTTAAGATAATAATCGAAAATATCTGTGAATCTTTAAAGATTTTACCTGGACTGTCCACCTGGTCCCTTGTACAAAACCATTTCATTACCTGCGTTTCTCATTGATAAATTACAATTGCAAGCAAACAAGTAATTTTCAAATAACAATACTGGCTATTGTCATGTTAAAGGAAGCGGCATTGTATTTTATTGATGGACACTTAAAAATATTACAATAAATGTTCGCGCTCGAGAGAAAACGCAGCCAGAAAGCTACAAGAATTATTTTCATAATATTATTACAAAAACGCAGTGCGGGCCTAGTGGTTTGATTGTGCTTCAAAAATAACCAATGGACTTTTCTTCCTTTCTAAGCAATTTGAGCCTTAGACCTAAAAATCAACGGAGTATGTCAGGCACTGAAAGCTACGCCTACTACTACCCTATTAATAAAAAAATATAAATAAACAGATACAGCTTACTGCGGTGATAGCGGCACTGGTTCTTTATATTAAGCCAAAATTTATTCTTAAGTAGTATTTTTATTTAAGACTTTATGCTAATTGCTGACCAACATGAACGAACATGTATCCAAAAATCGCACATTTACCACATTTATAGTAGGTATCAGACTAAATTAGACGAGTTTTAAATAGAAATTACATTACTTCATTTTATTATTGATAACCAAAAGAATTAATATACTGTAAGATTTCCAAAGTTTAAATGGTTATTCTCACTGCATTTAAAAATAAAAAGATTTCCCGTACCGGGAATCGAACCCGAGCCTCCTGGGTGAAAGCCAGGTATCCTAGCCACTAGACCATACGGGATACAGAAGAGAATATGAAATAGGTATTTAAAACTTTTGTATAAATTTTTTTCAAAAGTTTTGTATTTATAATTTCCTTAGGATTCATGGGTTTATTGTTAAAGTTTTCTAGAGGTAGTTTGCTTTATGCGATAACTTTGGATAAACCCATGAAGCGAAAATATATAATCTGGATAGCTCTCTATCAATGTCAACTGTTAAATAATTGGTACATCAACGTATTCATATCAGTTCTGTAATCTGTGTTTACTATTTGTCAAGAATCAAGATGGCACGTCAGCAAGATGTTGATAAACTTTTCCATGTTAAAAATGCTTTTTATGTTGGAAATTACCAACAAGCCATTAACGATGCTCAGCATGTAGTCGTAAGTTATTATATAATTAGTAATTTCAATAATATATGGTTTTCTCTTTAAAGTTTAACAAGTTGTAATTTATGCTAATGACGTTTTGACATATGACGAATATGCTTGTATTTTGATAACAGCTTCATTTTCGATCATAATATTTTTTTAGTGCTCATCGCCGCTGGTTACACTCGAGCGCGATGCATTTCTATATCGCTCATATATTGCGCAAGGCAATTACAGAATTGTATTACAAGAACTGAAAACAGCTGACCCATTGCTCCAGCCACTCAAGACACTGGTGGATTATCTTTCTCCGGGAGCCAATAAACCAGCTGTTGTGTCAGACATTGATGCCAGAGTAAGTTCTTCACTTGTTATCACATTGGCTATTAGCTTATGTAGTTGTATAGTTGCAAATAAATAATAATACACATTTATGGTACCATACTAAGGAAGCCCCTATGATTTTCGAACCTATGTTAAATAAATTGAACATGATCACTGATACATTATAAATCCCTGTGCAGTGTAATTATCAGCATTGGTAATAAAATTATTCAATCACTATAATTTATCCAAGTCAGTTACCACTTCAACTCTCACCTAAGAATGTACCTGGCTCCAAAACGTTGAAACCCAAAACAGCTTACATTGACGGAGATGTTTAAAAAAAATGATTTTTATTTCTAAACTTGTACATAAGTACATTTTATTTATATTTAAAACATGTGAAAATTTCATGTTTCTTTCATTTAATTCAATAAAAAAATAGTGCAATATCAAAACGTAGCTTTTATTCTCTCCAATGGCAATTTTTAAAAAAATCCACTATCCAATATTTGATTATCCGAATGGGTCCCGGTCCCCATTAATTCGGATAATTGGAGTTCTACTGTACTAAAGTAGTAGTAGTTTGAACTCAGTTTCCACACTTAGACACCCATTTGGTCCATTGTGTGTAATTTATTCCTACTAAATTAGGAATCACACTGGCTTGGGAAAAATAAATCTTATCTATGAGAACACTTCTCTATACAATATTTTAGAAATGCTGTGGCTCTCTCTATTTTTCATTCATCTAAATAAATCATAGACAATTTTTGCTATCAAAGTTACACTTATACTTAGTAGCCAAAATACCATTAACCACAGTAGTAGTAGATAACACAAATAGGCAACACATTTTTTGTAATAAAAACTTATTGAGTGTAGTTTGCTATGCATTTCTATTATAATTCTGTGTGACTATTACATACTATTTCTTAAAAAAATAGTCTGAGATCACATTACAACTAACAAGTTACTCTAAACAAAGCTGTATCGTATTGGTAAAAAAGCATTTACAGATAAATAATTTTATTACTCTTTCTCATTGGCCTCATTAGTTGATGATGACTTTTTTTTAAATCTACAAACACAAAGTTTCTACTTAATTATTACATTTGTATTTCAGGTTGCAAAAGGCACAGAACTGTCCAATGACATATTCATAATTGTAGCAGCAACTATTTATTACCATGAAGATAACTATGAAGCCGCACTTAAGTATGTATTATTAAAATACTTATACTCCATAAATATGGAATAGTAATTCCAGCCCCACAACTTCTTATGTTGCTTGGAGTTCTATTAGGAAGATTTATTGTTGTGTCGAATAGATAAATTCCACTCCACATATAGGTGTAGCTTACTTCCTGTCTTAATCTAACGATAATTTGAAATGTAGAGTTTCAATTAAAGACTCCTTTGGGGCTGTTCAAGTATTATGAAAGCAGTTTTACTGCAATTTATTCCCTCCCCATCCTTTTGTCAGTGCTTACGTAACATTAGAACTGCCCCTTTACCATTTGATATTTACAAAATTATTTTTATACATTTCAGAATTCTTCATGGCGCTGAATCACTTGAACTTCGTGCCTTTACTCTACAGTGCTTACTTGCGATGAACCGGCCAGACTTGGCCAGCAAACAACTTAAACTCTTGCAGGATATTGAAGATGATGCTACATTAACACAGCTTGCACAAGCTTGGCTTAATTTATCACAGGTATATAATATGTTAATACTGCATATAATAATGCTCATAAAGCTCGTTTTAATGCGTCATGGACATCATGGACTTTTATCAGTAAAGATGAATACTTTGTTTTAGTATCATCATCAATTTATTCCTACAAAATTGAATTTGATGACCCGATAAGAATTGTCATTTTAGGTGTATTGTGTAACTATAATAGATATGATAGAATATATTTTACTGCTTAAACATATATTAGCTAAATGATTGATAATTTTGTATCTATTATGTTTAATAACAGTCTATTCAATTGAATATAGTCTGGGCTTGAAAGCAAAACATATTTAAAAGTTAAAACTGTGCACCTATAGATTACCTACTTAATATTAACACCTTTTCAAATAATGAGGAGTGGCCTATGTACACATTTCATAACAGAAACAGGAATACAAACAACAGTAACCTCACATTAATTTTGATTTTTAGGGTGGTCCCGGAGTGCAAGATGCTCACTACAGCATAATGGAGCTTGCGGAGAGACTTGGCGCTCTTGGTGCAGGTCCAGCTGCCGTCGGTGCTGCTGCTGCTGCCTCTAGAGGTCTCTAGTACTTAGCTTTATTTTTGCTACTATTTAGTAGTTTATTTATATATTTTTTTTTCAATTAACCATTTATCTGTTTTATTACTTTATATTATCAATAGGCAACCGACCTCAATTCCCCCGAGTGGTTAAATTCATAAACTACATTGCTTCTGGTTTATTTTTAATAGGCATGTGGGAGGAGGCTGAACAAATGTTAACAGAAGCTCAAACTCGTACACCACAACAACCTGAGCTACTACTTGGTCTTACTGTCACTGCTGCCCATAGCTCCAAACCGCCCGAGGTATAGTTGTGTTAAAACTTTGTATTTTCATAAACTTGCAGAACCCTACATAGCTCTTACTTTGTGAATCATGAGTGCCCTGTCTATAGACGCTCAATAAAAAAAGGCACTCAAGTACCCATATTTTTTTTTAAACTGTCTTAGAGTCTATGGTTTAGTGTTGTTCAGCATGTTGCAGACTGTTGTATAAATATTATATAATCGGTTCAAGGTCGTTATAATGAAGACCATTCTTATTAAATTTCCACTTTTATAATAAAGTACAGCGGCACTAACCAGACAGAAAAATATAATAAAAATTTCCATAATTAACAGACAAATACAATACAAGGTGTGTTTAATATAAAATAAGTTCTGCTGGACTAACAAAAAGAGACATTGGATTTCTAAACCTACCAGGACATAATAAATGCGTGAATGTTTACAGGTGTCTGCTCGGTACTTGGCGCAGCTGATAGATTCCTACCCTGAGCACCCGTTCACACGAGAATATACCGCAAAACAAAATGAACTGAAACGGCTAGCCGCTCAGTACCAACCAACAGTCGCCAGTTAAATTAAGAAATGTAATTGTATTGATTATAGTAATAAAGTTTATTGTATTCCATAGTTTGTTTATTTTTTATCTCTGGAATAAATAGAACTATACAAACTTAAATAGTATTTATTAGGTACATATTAATAGAAGCTATAATCGTAGTCGGTGTCAACGTCGTCATCGTCATTGTTATTGGCGCTGGCCAACTTGTGAAACTGACGTAGTTTCTCGTCCATTTCAGCTAACTCGACAGCCTCCGTTTGAACGCTTTCCATCGACCACGCTGTTGTTGTGTCGCGGGGAATTTCGCCTGTTAAACCTGAACATTTAGAACTCCTCTATTATTATAAGTGTCTAGTGGTTATATAGATAACATAACATTTGTGATGATAAGCGAAAAAAAATTATATCACAAAATGTCAGTGTAAAGTTCATATCTAAATATATAAAACAAAGTCGTGTTAGTTACACTACTTATAACTCAAGATCGGCTAGACTGGTGTTAGTTATTTCTTTTTTGGTGGATTCTTCTCAGCTCCGAATAGTAGAATAAGTAATAAAATATCGAATAACAATAAATGAATTAATTAACTAATTTTACGAATGCAAACACCGTGTGGTGCCATCTGTTGACAAAATTACGCACCATTTTACATCGAATTCGTGTCAGTTCAAGAAATTCCGATCTTGAAGTGATTGAGGAGATGCATAACCAGGCTTTGATCATGATCGAATGTGTTACCTCATCAAAAAATGTTGTATATCAGAAAGTGCTTTAACATGCAGTATCGCAATATTGGCGCTAGAGAGAAGAGGCCTAATGTGTAAAACTGCCATTCTCTTTTTGCAATGGCAAGCAATAAAACATTTGTATTAATGTTATTACCTTAATGAAATCCTAAATTAAGTTTAACTAAAGTTAACACGATGTTATTAGACTGTTAGGCGGAACGAAGTTAGCATGGTCAGCTAGTTTTTTTAATAATTATCAAAAATTGTTGACAAACCATGAGTATGTATTTCGACTTCGTCGTTGTCTGGACCCATTATAGAGGGCGCTGTGTAAGCTTCGAGATCACGTGACGTCCCGTTCTCTCGGTCAAGCCTCTCTTGCTTCCTCTGCTGGCGCCATGCTTTCTGTAGGTTGAAGCGTTCTGGTCTAGCGAAAGTAAAATGTGTTAGAACGTATTCAAATATAAAATTATTTGACTTATGTTTTCTGTTCCATATATTTTGTTTAAAATGTAATCTGTTTTAGCTGTAAGATTACTAGCTAAGAAAAGCCATTCTTATATAACGAAATATGTACATATTTAGTAAGTAGTAGCTAAATAATTAATTCAATAGAAACCAGTTAAGCTCTCTATTAAAAAACAGTCAGAAAATAAAATTATTCAATTACATAAAATAAAATACCATTTCGTTTACTATAACTAAACTTTTCAAAACAAAGTAATTCCCATCGGCACAGGTACTTACTTTTCACCATTTTTATAAACTCTAGCCTCCAAGTTATGTATATCGTGCCGTATGTCAGCTAGGAGTAGTAACATAAGGTCCAATGATCCCTTCGGCCCTCGGGCTCCACGAGGTCCTCTTGGCCCTTCATCCCCCTTTGGACCATCCATTCCAGATGGACCTGGAGGACCCTAGAGTTAACAGAAATTTGAGTGTGAAGTCAAAGTGTCTATAAATTATTTAGTGGCTATATAATTTGCCCAATGACTTGACAAATTCATCAATGCTCGTTTAGATTTAGGTTCGCTATCGTATAATTAAAAGTTATACATACAATAATTATATTAGTTTTGTATTCGCTGATGTAGATGAAGCTTACCCTAGGCCCTCTTTCACATCGACAGTAACCGCCCTCCAGTGGCGCAGTAGCGTCAAGGACTCTGTACGCACGAGTGCCCTCCGCAAATCTGTCATCATCTGTAACAATATTTTCCCCTAAATATTAAAATATGAAATCAACAACGATTGTTTAAAATTCTAATGTTGAAAAAAATTGTCACAAAATGTGATCAAAAATAGGTGAGAAGAAAGATTTATTACGCTCATGTTGAAGCTTAACGTAAACTGTAAGCAGTCATTTCATGATTTGGCATTCTAATAAACAATAAACTACAAGCTCCCACCTTTTCAGAATGTCAAATCATAAAATGACTGCTTCACGACTGATTGAGCGCGAAAATGCGAAAACCGCTGTGAGCTCGAAATGAGTTACAGAATCGCAGGGAAAAAAAACGTTGGTAACATTCAAGATAAACATATTTGTGTTAAAATCATTTTATAATATGATGAAACGAATTAACAATTTCAACATTACAAATGCCAACGTCCATACCACGTTGAATACACCGGTTCTCGTCCGATCACCGAAGTTAAGCAACGTCGGGCGAGGTCAGTACTTGGATGGGTGACCGCCTGGGAACACCTCGTGATGTTGGCTTTTTGCAATTATTTTACAGATTAAGTGGTATATAACACTACTATGTTATCACTGTACAAAGAATTAATTAACTTAACAGAAAGCCTTATGTCCTGTTTTTTTTTCTAATACGTTATTGTACGCTATATGCAACTATAATAGTACCAGAACTGTTATATGTCGTAAGATAAATGAAACAATTCACAGACCGGTGTTACCTTCGACTACAGTCTTACCTTCTTTCAAAGCAGGGTTATCTAGTAGTTTTCTAAGCGCTGCCTGTGAAGTGTGTAACTGATCGCTAAGTTGTTTCACCTTTCTGGAGAGCCACGACACAGTATCACAGGATGCGTAGCACCGGGACGCTGCTCTTACCAATGGCAGAGGTTCCTGAACACCGTATTCGTTTTAGAATTATTTTTTTACAATATTTACATATTTTACTGAGAAGTGCTGCCAGCGCCACAATAGAGCATATTCAGTAAAGGATGAAGAGATCGATCTAACATTTCCAGATTAAGCAAAACAAAATTTTTGCTAGTGAATATTTTGAAAACCTATACGAAAATAATGTGGAAGTCGACAAGGGATTTACTGTATGCGGAAACTAAAAAAATAAAAGGTTGTACCGGTGTACTTATGTACCGCGTAAAAGTTCCCTGGCATTATTAAAAATAGGTTTTGATTGCATGCAATTAATTACAATTAAATAATCAAAGACTGGAAAAGGAGTCATTAAAGTCAATAAAGTTCAGTTTACATTTGAAAATAATTAAAAAATATTTATTATTATTCTCTTACATTAAACAATAAAACACTATTTATCTTTAAAACATTTTTATTTCATTATACTATTTATTTTTAAGTGACTCTAATGTCTTCATCAGAATTTCAGTTTGTAATTTTAAATTAATCATTACTTGGTTGTGCATCTACGAGGCTTCTCCAAAACTACTTGCTTTCTGCAACAATAAGAGAATATTAATTTAAGCTCTGTCCATGCAAAACTTAAAATTTTGTATAATTCATATTATAAATTTTTAACACATTTATATTAATATAATTATATAAATGTGTTAATAATATAATTTGTAGCACATGCTACAGACCTGGATAGCAACTTTCTTTTATTCTATTTAGAGATAGAGATAATTTAAATATAATACCTGGTGTCTTCCTTGTAGGTTTCTTTGGAGTTGTTTGGGGATTCTTGTTGTTCAGTTCGACATGATTTTCTTTACCTTTCTTTAATCCTACAAAATAATTAAATTGTTAAGTTATGTTGTCACTGTTGTGCACACCTTTGTTTGGCCTTTTTAGTATTCAAGTTATGTCAAAACTGATTTATTACCTTGCCATTGTTGGCTTATTTGCTTTGGGATATCAATTGTTTCCAAAATGATTTTATTTGTAATAACCTGAAATATATAAATAACATCTATTAATTTAAGTATCATGGTGAGTGGTTCGCACTCAGGTTTAAGGTGTATTATACCCACTGTCCATTATAAGTGGGAATGGGCTCACTTCTGGCAGGACAGAGTTTCGGTACTACAAGTGCAACATGGATGTTTTGAGGTTTACAATATCTCTAACTACCCTGTAGGGGAATAAAGTAATGTTGTAAGCATATGCCTATGCTTGAAAGGTTGAACCTTGAACATCACCATACATCATATTTATAATTAACATTCCTACCTCGACACCATCACAATCAAATTCATTGAAATCTACTTCAAACCATTGTGTCTCGAGAAGGTGATGGTGGCTTGTTCCACCTCAGTTTTTGATGTTTCACGGCAAGATGACACTCTTTTTGTATTCAATTTAGTGCACTTCCACTGATTCATCAATTGTTTTTTGTCTCTTGTCCTTATATTTGCTAGATTAAATCTGATGTTTTGATTAAATAATGTGGTCATTTTTTTGAGATGCAGGTACTTATTAAAATGTTTACTTCTCTGTTATATCGCTCCAAGCCTTCATTTTCTCCTATTAGTATTCGTGCTTAAATCTTTGTTCTCAATTATTGATATATAGGGTCGTAGATATTTCTAAAAGTTGCTGTAACAAACGCAATAAACAAAAGCAATGAATAATGGTTCATGTTTCAGTTTTAATCAACAATAATACTCGATAATACATACGGATAGTTAACCTCAATTGTATTGAAGCACTCAGGAAGGTTAGCACAGTTTTTTCACAAATATTTTATATTATTTCACAAATATTTTGTATAATGAAAATAACTAGGTTTAATTTTAATTTTAAACAATAATTAAAACTCCTATATTTGTTTAAAAGGTAAATGTCATTGTCAGATGTCAATTGTCATGGTCATTCAAAATTCTTGTTAAGTGCTAAGCTAGAATATGCGTGAAGTTAGCTTCACGCATATTCTATACTTTTACTTGTGTTTGTCTTATTCCCATCTCGCCCGCTTTTCACACTCGTGTCATAGGTCGGGCAATCGTAAAATTTCACTCTCATCAATTTTTCATAGGCCTAAAAAGTACAACTAAAAAAAACCTTAAGACTGGCAAATAGAAATATGAGATTATAATTTGTATCCAGGAGAATCCAGCATAGAAACATGTGGACGGGATTAGGTGAAAAATAAGTCCACTTGACAGTTAAGTTAGTCCATTGAAATGTTACAATTTGAGGGCCAAACTGAACATTTGATAGAAGACGCAATTTTATTTATGGGACATGCAGCCCCCCCACATGATAATAAAATTTTCAGCAAATGTAACATTTCAATGAAAGTGCTTATTAACAAATTACATGTCAAATGTCAACAAATACATTCTTAATTTGAATTCTGATATGTATGAAACAGGTACTTACGGGTACTGCTATTGCTACTGGTGGTACACACTTCCTGCCGTCCGGTGCAACCGTGTAGGGTGCTGGACATTCGCAGTGATAGCCGCCTGGATCATTCACACATGTGTGCTCACACCCAGCCTTATTGTCCGCACATTCGTCTATATCTGAAATAGTTTAGAAATTAAATTAATAAGATAATTATTGTTCAATGTTAGCTTATTTTTCTCCTGTTAAAATATTGTTACTTAATTTGTTTTAGAGGTTGGAGTCAGCAATTTTAACAGGCGTATTAGTTAGAAAAATTGACTTATAATAATAGGGTTAAATTTATATAAAATATAACTTATAATAAATTTATTTAAGTTATTATTTAAATAAAAAAATAGAAAAACGCCAACATCAATCAACGAGGTGTTTTCCCAAGCGGTCACCCATCCAAGTACTGACCTCGCCCGACGTTGCTTAACTTCGGTGATCGGACGAGAATCGGTGTATTTAACGTGGTATGGATGTTGGCACTTATGTTACTTAATATTTTCTAGGTGGCTATAAAGATCTGGGTGCCAAATAATATGCTATTTTGAAGCCTGTTAATTTAAATAAAAAAAAGATACTAATATAATTAGACGATAATCGATCAAGTATTTAAAAACTAACACCTGGGGTAGCTGATAGAAGACAGTGAATAATTTTAGTAGCAGCCACTGCAGGCTCTGTAATCTTCCATAACGTAATCAACAACTTTAAATATAATAACCAATGCAATATGGCTGCCTCTTCCTCCTGTAGCTATCCTCGCTAAACGTGAAGCCGGGGTGACAGGTACACCACATGCGTTCGTCTCGCACCTCGCACGCTTGCTCGCACAGCCGCAAACTGCACGGGTCCACTGTTTTTGGGACACACCTGAAAATTTGTAATTGTAAGAGGTGTTAAGGTCGCGGAAATGATTTTTTTTTAATAGATATGTCTTTACTAAGACATTATGGAAAATTACGATCTAGCCTAACTTAAGACTAATTAATAATTTAAGTATTACCTGAGTTACTAATAAGGATATATAACATTACTTAGTCTCCAATAAATGGAAGACACTCTGTTCTTGTGTTATTTTTTAACTTACCACTGTTTAGCACTTAAGATCAACGAGCACTAACACTAATTCACTAGTTGAAATGGTTTAGTCATTCAGCCTTCTCACAAGGCCCGTGGCGTGGTGTCAAGGAGTTGAATAACTTTCCTCGACATTCTCGTAATGGTGGAGCCTATGTTCGTGGGCCCCCGTCTTTTTATTTTTGGGGCGCCGTTTTTTATATATATATAAAATGGAAGAACCCGTTAGGGTCCGGGGGGGGTTCTTATTGGGGGGGAGGAGGCCGACCTCCTTCCGCGTCGGTGGCTCCCTTGGGGGAAGGTTTGGTCCCCCCCCCCCCCCCGGAAAAACGCCCCCGGGGGCCCGGGGATGTGGGGGGGGGGGGGGGGGGGTTTATTTTTTTTTCCCCCAAAAAAAAATTTTTTTTTTTTTTTTTTGTTTTGGGGGGGGGCCCCTTGGGAAGTAGGCTCTTTTTGAACACTCCAGGTTTTTGGGAAAATTTGAAAGAAACATAAAAACGGGTTTGGGGAAGTGAAACTTCTTTAGTGTTAGTTAAAAAATCACTGAACCGCGAGATATTTTTACCCTTGAAAAAAAAGCCAACATCACGAGGTGTTCCCAGGCGGTCACCCATCCAAGTACTGACCTCGCCCGACGTTGCTTAACTTCGGTGATCGGACGAGAACCGGTGTATTCAACGTGGTATGGACGTTGGCAAGCATGTGTTTAAAATATATGAACTTACCGTCCAGCTATATAATTATGAGTTTCGCAGCAATGCAGTCGAATGCATTGGACATCAGCACCCCCAACCCTACACGTCTCCCGCGACCGTAGCACTCTGTCTGTCGGGCAGGCTGACCGCTTATCCACGCTGAAAATAATATTCAGCATCAATCGATACAATAACCGTGAATCATGGTTCCATAATATTTGCTAATGATATTCTTGCTGACTCCAAATATATCCTGGCGTCTGTGAAATGCGCTGTCTTTCGTAGAGATAGAAAAATCAACTCGTAATAATTACGATACGTATTTCAGATATAGATAAAGTAAAAAACATTAAGCCCGGCAACTCACTTGCGCCTTCTGACAATGTGAGTGTCCATGGGCGGCGGTGTTACTTAACATCAGGTGAGCCTCCTGTCCGTTTGCCTCCTATTGGAATGGCCCTATGGAAAGAAAGAGAGGATCACCAGAAACCTAGGAAGAGGAACTAAAAGAGAGGTCGGAGAAAGATTGCAAAATAGCGAAGATGAGAGGCAAAGGAAGAATTTGGAGGAAGTCTTCACTACTTCGGAGGTCGTGTCATATAATAATAACATAAACTTAATGTAATTCTCATCGTACTCGAATAAGGTCTATTGTTATTTTTATTTCAGATATTAAAACAGTTATTAGGTGACTCTAAACAGATGCCAAAGTTGTATTGTATGCCTAACGTGAAATAAACTAACTAAATAACTAAACATTTTGGGTAGCTATCTATATTTTGTGATTCGTAACTTTTAAGCCAACTTACTTTTTCTACATAAATAACTTTAAAAGTGTTTTTTTTTTCGTGGACTACTTATTATTTGACCTAAATTGAACCAATGTCCCGTTTTGAGTCAAAGAATAAATGGTCAACAATGATATAAGTAGGTACTTTAAACAATGTAGACTAAAACAACCCAATGACGCTACCAAGCTTATCTTATCATGTGATACATTTTCATGAATTCTATTCTATTTAGAAACTTCATTATAGGAAACAGCTATTCTGACTGATTATTTTAATTAAATAGGTATAATAACATCTTTCGTTTGCGTTAGTTTGTTCGTGTATTGGATTATGTTTAACGTGTCAATTGTCAATTAATTAACTGTCATTTACAGGTTCATTTCTCGCCTTAATCATGGATAATATAACAAATAAAAAATCTATACAAATATTTCCTATGGTATATATTTTAATGATATTAAATTGTTAGCTTTTTTATTTTTAAGCGAGGTGGCGAGTCACTTCATAAAGCGACAGTCGCCGCCCATGGACACCTGCAACGCCAGAGAAAATGGTACGCTCTCTTCTTGAAGGCTTGAAGTCGTATTGGTTCGTAAATATCTCTACTGGGAGCTGGTTCAACAAAGAGGTGTTGCGTAGCAAAAAGTAAGTTTGTAAAATAAAAAAATCCAAATTATATTTATGTTTTCTTTTACGTCCCATTTCATCTATCATATTTTGTAAATAAAACAATCCTATAAATATAACCAAGTGGAATTAAAGGGTTCAATGATCCTCAGTACCAGTTCCCTGAATACAATGCACAGTTAAGCATGTTTCTATATTTCTCCGCTTGTACATTCTTTGCCTGTAAAATATCGCAGGAACGTTTTATATTATGACGTATTCATATGTATTTATTGACATTTTTAATAAAACAAAGGCCGTCTACAATATGGCACGCACACATAAACACATACGTACGCACAGACACACGATTGTTTATAAGTACATATTATACTTTATTAGGGTATGCCGTTTATGGCAATTCTTTGTTAATGCATACTTTTGGTTTTGTATCTTTCTTCAAAAAATCTTTCTTTTCCCAAAAAAAGAATTACTAACTTTAGATAATCTACGATACGGGGAAATTGCACGCTTGCGATAAAATTAAATTAGTAAAATATTCAAAGAGTATTAACATTATGCGTTATGTTCTATTCTAGTAATACTTTTCACTCTTTTTGTATACATACATAATATTGTTTGATACAATAATAATGTTTTATACTAATTAATTTTTTTCATGTATCCTTTATTAGTTTAGTTTGTTTTTTTTGTTCCTGTTTAGTTTCTTAATAATTATATGTAATATATGTATTTTTGCACTTCTTGTCTACCTTATCTAATTTAAAACATTCTTTTTTTCTTTTCTCACAGTGGTTGCCTGGAAGATATCGCTCGAAAGCGATAAGGCCGCCAATTGCCTTTCCATTACATGTAATTATGTTAAATTTTTATAGTATAATGCAACAAAGTGTAAATAAATAAATAATATTTTCATAAATATATTGCGAGGGAAAGGTCTCAGAGATTCCCTACATTTTAAATTATAGATTGCAAATTGCAAACAAGTGTTTATGTTATAAATAATTTCCGGGATATTCACATCTAATATACTTATTATTATGTTCACAACACTCGGCCTATAAAGGCCCATACAACTTCCCCAATATTTATATTTTATTAAATTAAAAAAAAAGTAAACCTGATTTTAGGTAAAGAGGAATAGCAGGTCTACGTGCGCAGATAAATAAATGGCACAGAATTAATATAATGAAAATGGATGGCACCGCCGCAACTGTGCCTATAATACTGCTTTATAAGTAACTTTAATTGTCCTCGGTTAATTTATGGTGTAAATTGCAGGGGAGTAAAACTGCTTATCACTTTACAAGATGACCTTCCTGCCTGTATTCTATAAAATACTGACTGAGTAAGGTTTAGTTGCCGTATATTTTTAGAGGTGTCGGCCCCCCTCCCCCCCCCCCCCCCCCCCCCCCCCAAAAAACCCCCCCCCCCCCCGGGGCCCCCCCCCCCCCCCCCCCCCCCCCCCCCCCCCCCCCCCCCCCCCCCCCCCCCCCCGGCCCCACCCCCAACCCCCCGCCCCCCCCCCGGGCGGCCCCGACAAAAAAAAAAAAAAAAAAAAAAAAAAAAAAAACAAACCCAAACAAAACCTCCCCCCCCCCTCCCCCCCACCCCCCCCCCCCCCCCCCCCCCCCCCCCCCCCCCCACCACCCCCCCAAAAAAAAAAATTTTTTCCACACCAACCCCACCCCGCAAAAAAAACAAAAAAAAAAAAAAAAAAAAAAAAAAAAGACCCCCCCCCCCCCCCACCCCCCCCCCCCCCCCCCCCCCCCCACCCCCCCCCTCAAAAATATTACAGGACTAATATCGCTATTAAAATTTACTAATAGGTATTTTATTTATTATTTATTACCACTTCGTGGCATTACCATAATGAAAATTTAACAGAATTAATGAAAAAGGAGGGCAACTGGCGGCCTTATCGCTTTCCAGCGATCTCTTCCAGGCAACCACTATAATTAAGGTATTTTTTAGGTTAGTCATAAAACAATAAAAAATTGGGGCATCCATACCTCTTAGGGGTAAAAATCAGTCAGGAGTCGGAGCCGTTGATCACACATACGGGAATTATATATTTGTATAGATATATGCAAATATATCCAAAGAACAATGCGACTTCTGATTTAATAAGACTGTAGGTATGTACTCTTGGGTATTATAAATGACGCATTGATGGCGCTTCTCGGAAGAGGTCAACGAATTACATAACCCATAACTACACTTCCCTCATTAGCACATAATCACTTCCGCACATACGGAAAGGAGAGCTTTCAGTTTCCCCGATGAATTAATACAATATTAATAACATTCATTGTTTATTACGGAAAAAATCCATACACATTTTACACCATATTCATATCACATATGTTTCAATGGCGTAAAAGACAAAACCTAAAACGATTCTATTGCTGCTAAAGATGCCTTTATTTGCCTGTCTTAGCACGTAAACGCCACTAGGCCAACACTGCATTTAGAAATACATATACGTTATGTTATGTATGTAGCATTCTTATTAGAATGTAAAGCAAGTCTAGGAGTTTTATGTTTCCTCGTTACGATATACGAAATTTTCCTTATTATAATTTTAATTTAAATGAATAGATGGTGTATACGGGGTAGTGTAACTTTGTTTTAAGGAAGAGCGGTTAATAGCCATCTTCAGTAAGCATTTAATGAAAATATAAACTTTCTATGAAATTTTTCAATGAAGCCTATCTAACCTTTAAACTCGATTTATTATAAACTTATTTGTATTGACGTGGATACAGTTATCAGACTTGTAAGCGTAAATTTTTATAGTGCAGATCAAAGCAATGTACTAATTGATATAAATTCCTATAATTCTCGTCTCACATTGGAACATCGATCATAAAAACGCAAGAGTTTATTTTTACAATTTCCTAAGGAACGAAAATAACTTGCTTGTCTTAGATCAGGGACACGATTTACGTGAGCCGTCTTTAGAGTGACATAGTAATTTATGCAAATTACACAATTGGATTCATCTGCGCCTACGTTCTTTTTGTTTTTCACGATTATGAAGTGTTCGTAGTAAATGTTATTTTATAAAATGTAAAAACACTACGCTACAACATTTTTAATTCTGGACCTCAGATTTCAGTTTTTTTCCATGATCATTTGTCAAAAATAAATAGGTACAGAAGGCTGATCACCTAGATGAGCCTTCTGTGCCTGACTCACGTCGACTTTATGGGTCTAAAACTAGCCCTCACGATGCTTTCCTTCACCGTTTGAGCAAATTTTAAATGCGCACATAGAAAAAATGTCCATTTGTGCACAGCCGGAGATCGAAACTACTTCCTCAAGGATAAAGAGTCGCACGCTAAAGCTAAAGCTCTCTCTCTAAATGTTATTTTTTATAGGCACTCAATTTATTCCTTCCTACCTTGTAAAAAAATTGTTACTAGGTATTCAGACAATTGAAAAGCTATATATTTAATCATGTTTTGTTTAAATTTTGGATTTTACAGATGTAATTAAATCTTTCGTTTTGATTTTATCGTCTTAATAAATCATGCCCCGTAAAATTTCAGGAAGTGACGGTAGTTGCTGCAGAGGCCAGTGTTATTAAATGTCAAAAATAAATATACGTAGTTCGAGAATTTTTGTTTCTAGCATTCATATACATTGGACTATGAATATTTTTAAGAACAAATTAGAATTATTAAATTTGATAATTGTCAGTTTTGTGATACTGAGTTTATTGACCCTTTTTTATCAAAGTGCATATTGCATCAGTATAAATATTGTGCATATTTTTTGTTCTTTATGTTAATAACGTATTAAAAAATCAAATTGTTGCAGCATTATTTTAAACAAACTGTTTATATACGTTATGATAATCCACTGATGATTATTGATTAATGCTTCGATCTTTGTCATTGAATCAATTAATTAATATCTAGTTCACATCACTCACACATCTACAACGTCGTCATGGTAACCATCTTCGGCGAAATATCCTGTATCCTGAGGTGTGGCAAATACCCGGGTGGTATAAACAGAAAGGAGAATAAAAGCCGCATTGCTCAGCGGCGCGCGCATCGTGACTGCGCCCGCGCAGATGCGTTTGCGTGGAATCTCGAACTTTAAGGCTGCGATTACACTGTTTCGTTTCTGGTTGTTATTAATATATTTTGTACGTGGTTATTATATAAAAATTAATTGTTTTATTTATTTTAACAACGACATGGGATATTTTATATTATACTATTATATTTTAAATAAAAATTTAAATATATGTTTTCTTAATACTTCTCAATTTTTTTTATAAATCATTTTAACATGGACATTGTTAACATGTGTGCTAAGCTTAAGGAGTAAACCAATGGTGTGAAAAAATCAACCATTTTGTGGTCAGTTGGTTCTTGTATAAAACAAAAACTAACATACATACACACATACGTAAGTAAAAAGTACAAAACAAAAACGTAAATGGGAATTAAAAAAATACTGTACCAGGGGTGCATAAGTTAAAAAGCCATCGCATTGTATTTTTTTGGCGCGAGTTATTTTAGCTTAATGTACGCAGTAAAAATATTCTACTACTATATATGAATAAAAATAATATAGCAGTCGACTTACGACGATATACGAAATATACTAACTAATATTTTTACATAATTATTTTATTTTACAACAACTAAACATTCATTAAGTCTTTGTTAAGAATAACAACTATGAGATCGTGGTTATTTAATTACTAAAAATAAATTATTCATTACGAGCACTTCTCTGTTCCATATTAAGGATTGCTTCATTAAGTTTTAACGGCCCATTGCTCTTAGCTAATAGAATATTTTTGATGATTCACCCAGATGATAGACTTGTCTTTACTTGACAGCAGTAATAATTAAGTTTTTTTTAATATTAATTGTCGTTTGTTTAAGGTTTTAGTTCAGTTTTCTTTTTTTTTTGTCTATTAATGTTTTCTGTTCCATATGTTTTGTTTATCAATGTACTCTGTTTTGGCTTTGTATATTGTCTAACGCCCGAACCCAATAATCAATCCACAATCAATCTGAGATCAGACCGATCGATCTCCTATCTGCATCCCAATAACCAAACCAGAGACAATCCATTTTTGGCGACGAATAAAATGCTCTTTGTCGTTCCATTTTACCGAGTTTACACTCATATTTGATAATCAATGTAAACTAAATAAAGTTAATAAAACCGTACAAATAACATTAAAATATACATGTGTATGTTTAAAACATAAACAGTTTTTTTATTTATTTAAAAAACTGGTGTAAGTTAAAAAAAATTAACTGTTGAAATCGAGCTTTCGTCAACTGTCATTTACATACAAAGGTCTATCCACCGATACGACCTCCCATGGATAGCTTGTATCGACAGATGGCTATTACAATCCGTCGATTGGTTATTGGCAAACTTTTTACAACATTTGGATTTTGGATTAAGATTATGGATTGAGATAGGTAATTGGGTTCGGGCGTAAGTGTTTTCTTTTATAATATGGATATGTGTTAGTTGTAAGATACCTTAATATTTAATTGTAAGACACTTTATTGTTTAATTTATATTACTTATAAATAAACATATAGCATTATTTAAAATAACTTCGCATCAGGATTTTGTTTCATTCTCCTTGATAATTTTTCTTTAAAAGCAAGTAGATCTTCTATACCTGGCACACGGCGACTATTGGGTCTTACCCAAGATTCAGAGAATTCAGATTCGAACTATATTTCCAAAGCCAATAACGTAAGACCATTAGATACGCGGGACGCATTTGACCTCACTTGACTAGTACCACACTTAATTTTTCTTTACCGTATGAGAATAGGTTTCAGCCGGGTTCCGAACCCAGGGCTGAAGAGGATCGCCTTACTAAGCTGCTAATTACTTATTTTAGGCTCAAAAATCCGCCCCTACAGTTCAATTTACGAAATAGACCTATTTGACCTTGAATAATCACAATTCTCTCGGTTTTTAGAGAGATTTATGTGGCCTATGTTAATGTATATAAATCACGTCACTGCTAAATCCAGTACTCAATGCCCTATTCCATTCGATTTGTTTACTGAGTGGCTCACGGCCATGCTCTACTGACATATTACTTACATTCAGCAACGTTACCAAATCTTTGCTATAAATAACATAATGGCGGCATGTCGGAAGCGTATTAAAAACTGTAGCGTATATATTTTTCATCGGGATGTGATGTTTACATATTATATAATAAAAATACTTTTTATTTTGTTACTTTTAATAGATTAGTAGCGACATCTCTTATTTGTTATAGTTAACAATATGGTTGTAGAGCAATGTCAGGAGTAAAATAGCTCACTTTAGTTCGCGAGAATTACAATAGATGTCGTGAATGTTAAATTCTCACAAATTTAATTCTAGTTCTTAATTCAAATTTTAAAAAATGTGTGCTTAAGTGTGTGTGTATTAAGTATTTGTTTTTTTATGGAAAATATACATACCCGTATAAAAAATGCGAATGAATAAATTCAAAGAATGATAAGATACATCTGTTCGTTCTTCAGTAAAGGTATATAATTCCTGACAAATACCGTTAAAATATTTTAGCGGATAAAAAGAGCTTCGTAGCGATACCTATTTTTCGTAGCAAGCTTTAGCTACGCGCCATTCAGACAACACGCTTGATCGAGTCCGCCGGTTCCCTTTACTCAAAGAAACTTTCCAACTCACGGAGTATTTTTATAAAACCAATGCTAGTAGAATGCATGCTAATAAACACGTTTATATCTATGACGGCGAGTTATGACTGGGCACCAGGATCCTATAACTATCATGGAGTCCATAACGGGTTTAATAGTATCAAGGATTACATAGATGAATGGACGGTGGAGGTTCCCGGTGGCGAAGAAGTGGCACAGCTGGTCGCTCTCGAGTTGGGATATGAGTACGACGGGCCGGTAAGGATCCTTTCATTTATCATGCCCTAGTGATTTCTTAATTAAACAATTAATAACGGTTAATTAAGTAATATAACTAACCAATTAACATTAATAATTACCGACAATTAAATAATAAAGCTTATTTATTAAGGTTAAATTTTATTGTTTAACGAGATATACAATGAATTACATTTTTATTATAATTAATGCTCTGTACTCTCGAATCGAATTTAAAAAAAATAGCAGAATAATTAACTTTGTTAGAAAATTAGGTTTGTGCTTTTAATTTAAAAAGGTTTTTCGAATGTAATTGGAGCTTTATAAGCGATTAAGTCTAATTTGGAATTTAGTAAGAGAAAATTAATTAACTTAGAGATATAATATTTCTTATATATCAATGAAGCTTTTAAATTTTCTACATTTATTTTAAAAGCAACTATAAAAAAGAATGACAGGCCACACACAAGTTTGTACACACATTCAGAAGTCATGTGCTCAAAACATTAATTATAAACATATGTCAATAGTCAGATATATCTCTTGGTCACTATATATTTGTTTATATATCGACATGACTATGTTAAGAATTATTATAAAATATGTATTTATTTAAAATAGAGCAAAACTAATGTGATTATATATTCTTATTGAATTCATATTCATGGACATATATGACAATCATAACTATTTTACTATTACAAATTTTTATGTTTTTTATATTATATATATGTACTAGGTCCTATCAAAATTTGGCCCAATTATTTTTAATTAAATTATTTTTAATTGATTTTTTAAAATTTCTTATTATTATTTAATAAAATAACGTTAATCAGTAATTAATATAAGATTTAAAAAATACTCCTTGCCATCTCCCACTCTTTCACCAGTTAAAGGTATATTTATAAATTTATACTTTATAACCTATTTTTATGAATTATATGTAAATTGAAGCTAATTTTTTTCTATTAATTATCATATAAAGTTGCTTATTAAATCTGGCCCAAATAAGCTACTTTTAAGATTAATATTTAAGGTAGAGTGAAAGAGAGTTACTAACATATTTTCAGACAGGACAGCGATTGTCGGCTAAGCACCTTTTACATTGCCATGCGTCGAAAGTTAGTGTTCTCAACCACCAGTATAGACGACTTTAAAAATATTATTTTTTTCAAAATACATTTAAAATTGCAACAAAAATTAATATTGATTTGATATAATATACGTCTAGTTAGCAATTTGTTGAAATTTTGATAAGCAATAATCCAATTACAAATTATTTGAATGATTCAAACTTAAATATTATATTCTATTAGATATTAATGATATTAAATGGTTTTTAAAATGATAATAAATTTTGAAGTTTATATTTTTTTACACAAACAATACATTAGCACCACTTTTAATATACATTATTAAAGTCGAGTACATTCTTTTTCGTTCACAAAAACACACTTCATCTTTTCAATTTTATTTTACATTAATTAATATAATAATTTTTAGATGCACAAATAAAATAACAATGTAAATATAAAACGTTGTTTATTACGAACTCCAAAACACTGTTTTTTATGTTAGAATAAAAATGTTGCATCTATCATCAGTAGAACCTCTATAAGTCGAACATCAAGGGAGACCCAAAAATATGTACCAAAATGACTCGGTGATTATTTCGATTAACAGAGGGTCAAGATTTCAAGTAATGGAGGTTTTGGTGTTTTAAGGGAAGGAAAAAACATTTTTCGAGATTTGGAGGTTTTTGACTTATCGAGGTTCGACTTAACGAGCTTCTACTGTATTCAGTTTCAGAACACTGACATTCGACCATCGCAATGGCTTAAAAGCGTCGCTTAGCCGACAATCGCTGTCCTCTCTACAAATGATGTTACGCGCTAACTCTCTTTCACTCTACCTTAAATATTTATTATCTTTAACAGCCATAGCCCTTATTTGCGGCCAGATTTAATTAAGCAACTTTATATGATAATTAATAGAAAAAAATTAGCTTCAATTTGACATATAATTCATAAAAATAGGTTATAAACGTATAAATTTATCGAAATCATACCTGTTTACACCTGGCTGCAAAGAGGTGCGGCCAGGTCCAACGCACCCGTGGTTTTTTAGAATCTTCATATTAATTACCGTGATGTAGACGTTATTTTATTTAAATAATACATGAACGAAATTTTTACCAAAAATCAATTAAAAATAATTTAATTAAAAATAATTGCGGCCAAATTTTGATAGGCACCCTAGTACATATATATTCTCTTAATTATAAATAAACATAAAAATTTGGTTTTAAACAAATAGTCATGAGGCACCAATCTCAGATCTCTACTAATATAGATTGTCTGCTTGATAAATGTAAGGATTACATTCAGAAATAAGGCTTTGATCGCGCATCCTAAGTCTGGTGAAGTAGTAACAACTTAATAATTTTGGACCAACTTTCAAAGATTCCTTTGTAATTCAGCAGTTGTATTTTTAACTGGAAAACCCTGAACAAGGTTTACATTTCGACGTATATTACATTTTTTTTATGTAATAGGAGCAAACTGGCAGGAGGCTCATCTGATGCTATGTGATACCGTCGCCCATGGACACTAACATTGCCAGAAGGCTCGCAAATGCGTTGCCGGAATTTTAAGAATTGGTACGCTCTTTTCTTGAAGTCAAATTGGTTCAGTAATACTTCAGTGAGCAGCTGGTTCCACGGGGCAAATACTGTCTTAATAAACGCTCAGTTGTGTTGTGTTTATCCATTCTTCCTACTTCAAGAAACGATGACAAAAAATGGAAAGAAACAATGTACTTTTTTTTGGAGTTTGGCGACCAGATAGGTCCTTAATGTAAGAAATTGTAGAATTTACTTTATAGATAAATATACTAGGGTAATAATAGAATTCGCTTAACGTTTGTTTCAATGAGGCAAAGTAACCTTACAGACTATGCCAATACGATACTGTCGATAATATAAACATGTATTAAACACATAATATACACAATATCGCTACTGTGAATTCACTCTGCGAACATTTAAATTTGTCGATAGTGTCGAAGACAGCATTCAGTAGGCGCAACGTCTTTGATAACGGGGATAATATCAAAATAAAAAAATATGTTTTTTATGGAATATAAGATACAGGTATCTCTTATTCCACGTCATTAAACTTGAATCGGTAGACATCCCTACTCATCGGCAAAGAAGACAGACGGTGTAGGCCGAGAGAAAAAGCCGGCGTAAAAAACTCTCGGTACTCTTTTAAAATAGCAAATCATCAAACAACACTTATTTTTTAAACAAATATCGCAAATTAATTAGAAATAGCCTGTCTAGCACTAGTCCCAGGCCCTTTTATCAACTAGATAATCGTTAACTTTTAGTAAGCCTTTTTACACAGCTTTTCTCTGCAGGCAAAGGCCAAAAAGTTTCCCTTTTTGCAAAAAATAATTACTAACTTTAGATAGTCTAGTAAATCCTTATATATCTCCTTGCAAGGGTTCATAGTCATCCACCTGACACCTCTTGGAGATTGACAGGAGACATTTCGTTTACAAAAAGGTGGCATCTAGCATGACTTATTACCTCTGGTAAATCATTCAACATTATTGCAAACTGAAATGGCCCTAATTTTAAATATAGCATTCCTATGAATAAAAATTAAAAAATAACTTTATTGCCGGTTTAATTTACTATATAATATTTATTTTATGTACCTAGAGTTAACTGAACTGAAATAATTAATTGTGTTTGACGTAAAAGCTTTTAGATAACAATGATAAGAGTAATACAAAAATATTGGAACACTCGACATTGTGACGGCATTTGCTTTGAATTCAACAATACCACTTGAGAATATTGACAAGCTATCAATATTTCGGCTCTAATGAAACTGATTTTGGGCGATATTTCTAAACTTCTACCACGTAACGGACACATTGTGATTTGAAACCCAAAAAAAAGTGCGTGCTACAAACTACACATGTCAGAAGTGAAACTTCTTTGACAAACTAATTTTTAAGTCTTGTTCATATTTATACAAACCTAAAAGTTTAGATTTCCGAAACTTAGAGGGAGGGAAAAAGGAAAGATACGTTAGAAAATTAATTGTCAATAAAATATTAAAAGTGCCGAAAATTAATACAAATAATACATTTATTTCTTCGATAATAAAAACACGTGGTATTTCAATTTACAATTCGTCATTTGAGATCTCAAAAAAATTATTTTACATAAAATACTAACATTTCATAAATTCTCTTTACGAAATTTTAATTTTAAAAATAGAATTTCTATAAGGTCTTCCGCCCTTCTCACTCTCTCAATCGGTCTCAACCGCTCTGACAAAAACGCTGCACATCTTCGTGACATTTCATCCGTAAAAATTTTACCCTCATGCACCTTAAGAAGTTTCACTTTAATATTTTGCTGTTACACGGCAGTTTCCTCCACTCCAACCTGTCTTGGGAAAGCTTCAGCGCCAGGCCTTAGCTTTATCGGTCCTCTTCTCATTACTGGAGGTTGCGTTCTAACCAAGACGACAAAGCATTTTTATTTGTGACACATATAAAATATCTAAAATTAATACTTTATCATACATACTGTAAAGAGAGGGCGGATAGCCGATTAAATATTTAATCAAAAATCAGAGATTTTACTAGTAAATTTTACTGTAGCTTTTAGGAGTCAGTCAGGGCGTCCAAATCTAAAAAGACGGCCATACTCGCCCCTGCGTTATCCGACTTGAACTGAAGGTTCGGCCTTTTCGACTAACTCGAGTGGGCCTTTTAATTTCTCAACAACACATAAATTATATTTGACAATAACTACGTAGGCACCAAATTTAATAAAAAATTGAATAAGAAAATCAGTCTTTTTAAAATCTGTGTAGGTCGTTGTCTAAAAATAAATTATATCCGACGCCCAATTGACAGACAGTAATGGTGACTAATGTTAGGAATTAGTTGGACGATTTGTCTCAATTCGACGCTACATTTACACTATGGCAATTATAGAGATTTCTTTGCGTTATCCTCGACGCAAAAAGACCCGTTTCAAAATGAAATTTCAGTAAGTAATTGAAGATTCCGAATAATTAAATGAGTTTTCCTTAATTAGTTATTTTAAAATTAATTCCAATCACTGAACGCAATTAATATTTAATTAAATTAATTAAATGCTTTTTGTGGTGCATTTAAAAATCTGTCGGCGCAAACAAACCACAAAAACCGAACGAAATTTTTTTTAAATGACATTTGTGTACCAGGCCAACATAGAGGTGTTACAAATCTGCAAATAAAAAGATTTTTCTTTTCTTCATTTGGTTGTTGGACGTTCCCGACTTTAACAACACCATTGAAATATATTGATAAATCTTTCGAATAATGTAATTGTTAATTTTCTACAATAACGCGGCAGTAACAACGGCTATAATTGTATCAATGTCTTGATCCCACGCCTTTATAAAAGAAATAGAAGTCAGCCCTAACTAGGTTTGCGTCAAGTTTAACTAACGTTACCCGTCCCGTGCGTAGCAACTGTAATTTCCTTAACTCGTGTTAAAAGTAACAAAGGCAAACATGGCGTTCGCACATATGAATTGAACAGGGGTGCAAACGGGCAGGAGGCTCATCTAATGTTAATTGATATTGCCGCTCATGGACATTCTCAATGATAGAGAGCTCGCGAAAGTGTTTTAGGAAATGGTATGCTCTTTTTTTGAAGGACTTTAAGTCGAATTGGTTCGGAAATACTTTAGTGGGCAGCTGGTTCCACATAGTGGTGGTGCGCGGCAAAAACTGCCTTAAATAAATATATTTCATATATACCTGAACATATATTTCATAGATCTTTCATTAAAGCATATTGTATATATTTCATATTGGTATATCGAAAGACAATTTATAAATTAATTTAATTTCTTTATTAATCGTAATGATAATAATTATTAATTATATAAAAAAATATTCCATTCTATATTTTTAGATTTTTATTGAAACCAGAATTATTAATGTCCTTTTTTTATTAATGCAATGTAATTTTAAAACATCTAACTTACTTCAGCTTCCAAGGTTTTTCCATAGATGGCAGTGCTTGTAGCATAGTTTCAACATACAAATAAATAAATGCCCTCTGAATTAAATTTTCAGGCAGCAGTCGGCACTAACGACTGAAACAGCGTCGATTGTACTAGGATATCAGAAAATATATGGAGATTTTTTTCAGTGTTTCAGTGTAACATGTGAAACACGCGATCATGAAAAAATAGAAACACATGTGCGCTGTGTTCACGCACATTGGTAAGAAATGCGTCTTCGTGTTGAAATCCTTACTCACTGTTCAAATAAAAACAAACTCAATTAAATTGTTTTTCTTCTAATAATAGAAGTAATCTATTCTCTTATCATAATATTAAAAGATTAAATGTTCAATAAAATATATAATTAATATATTATTATATTACATAAATATTATTTAATTATGAAAATAATCTTTTTAAGCAAAGAAGGCAAATGCGTACCTAAAATATTTTATCCATTTTTATACTTAAGTATGTTATATTACCTCAATACAACATATTGACCAAAATAACACTTTTAAATTTTAAGAAATAGTATTATAAACTGTTGTTATTATTGTCGTTATGATTTTAACTAAAATTTTCATTGCTTATTTTATGTTTTTAGTCATAATATATAAGAACGAGACTGTACTACTCTAAAGGGGCGGCTTCAAAATAATATGCATAGCCCAACCCTTTCGCTCCCCCTAACGTTACGCACATGTGTATTCATCTCTTCACCGCGTATATGATCCTGGTACATACGTGTCTCGGGAAACTCACATGACACCGACATGACGTGCTTACGACACACACGGTACTTACTCCGCTTTTATCACACGTGGCCCGTAAGGTCACACACAAGAAACATCTTGCTCACATAAGTGATTCCACGACCGTTATTCACTTCGTTTTATGAATAGCAAAATAAAATTATCTCTTAATAAAGTAAAATCAAAAGTGTATTTACATTATTTATTTTGATTGTGATAGGTAATTTATATTAACTTATGTTTAACAATGCCGCTTGTAGTAGTGAGCAATGCGGTCAGAAATTAGAACGCAAGTGTAAGTGTTTGGTGACGTACTATGTATGTATACAACATACACATTAATGTAATAAAAAGTTATGTATGTACGAACATGTGGTCTCTCACGAATCATGTGAGTCACACACGCGCCATTTCTGAATGTTATCTTGGTGCTTATGCTGCCTTAGTATTAACGTGTGGCAAGAACATCATATGACGACATCCATTTTGACGATCTTGGCATGAGAGGTGACGACGACAACAACAAGCCACCCAGTGGAGTGACATGCCGACAATAAATATAATTGATTCCAATATTCCAACAATTGGAATATTGGAATCATTATAATTATCGTATCACTTTATTTTATTTATTAAGTAAGTACATAAATATAATACTCTACAGTAACTAGTAGTGTGTTTTTCTATGACAAATACTCAAATCTATTTATGATAAATTATAATAAATTTTACTTGAAACTGGCATAAAGTTAAAAAAACTATTGCCATAATATTGAAAAAAAAATATAATAAATATTAAATATATTATATGACAATTAAATAGAATAAAATAATATTAATATTTAATACATAAATTAATCGGCTAGCTTAAAAAAAAATTAAATCCCTTATTTACATATTTAATTTTTTTATTCTTCACTTCCAAAAAAAAGGAATAAGTAAGTAATTTTAAGTTAATCTGTTATATTACTTTAATTTATTTTTCTTTGTCTTAAAATAATTATATTAAAATCTGATTAAGCTGCATGCATTTTTAAAGCGCATTGTGATTTAAGTTTCACTTCAGTAATAATTTGTTCATATCATAGTAAACGGTCGGACGGGTTAGCCAATCAAGCTTCATTAAATACGACATCGACCAGACGGAACGGTAACAAAAATAGAAGGGAGTTAAAAAAAGTCCAACCCACATTGTCTAGGGCGCCACCTACATCCCATTGTTTTACTCGTCAAACACTAGGAACAAAGAAGGGTATAGGAGCTATCAGTGTACCGCAAACAGGGCTGAAAATTGGGCTCCCAAATTCGTCGTCTCTTGCATACTTATAGTCGTATTTATAGTTGCGAGTCCTTTTTTATTAAATTATTTTAATTGTACTGTTTTTCTGTATACTAGTAAGGAAGTGTTAATAAAAAAATATGTAATGATGGGTCATATTTTTCTTAAAGTAACTATCTTATTAATAATAAATAACTATAACTCTAAAATTATTTAAAACACATGACAAAACGTGATAGAATAATATTTTATCATATTAACAAAACATACCTAACTAGCGGCAATATCTTGTATCTTAGTAAAAACATTTTTACATTAGTACGAATATAGAAGGCAAAAAAAAAATTACATAAATACCTAAAAGGTTTTTCTTATATTAGAATATAAGAACAATTTCATTTTATGTTTTACAGTTTAAGAGTTTTAATAAAATAGTATATGTTTTTCGATTTACAGGTCCTAGGATTCCCGGACTTGTACGGGTTTAGAGTACATAATAAAAACCGTCGCACCCCAAGTGAACACACAGGCATACTTGCCAGCGACGAAAGGGTGAGTTGCACTACCTTTAACCCATAGGAGCCTGGTAGTAATGACTTTCGAAACACGTGGTGCTTTCGAATGATTCACATCGGGGGCACTGCGGAACGGGTCATTGACCTAGATTTTCCTCAAAGTGCTACTAAACAAAACAACAAAAACTAAATGAAACTGTAACTAATTTTTGACGAAACGATTTCGAATTATTTCAATGTTATTTGCAAAAAAATGTCTATTGTCAAATGACATGAGTAATTTGTCTAAATGTCAAATTACTCAGTTTCTCATAATCCATGCAGATTATTTAATATCAAATAAACACAGATTATAAACTTCCAATATCAAAAGTTTTACAGCCGAACTAAATCGTATACAAAGCTCATCTTTTAACTTTATTATTTTAGATACGATGGGCAGAGCAGCTTTTTAGTAAAAAGCGCGCCAAACGTTACCCTATGGTTGTCTCAGGAGAGGAAGAACTTCTAAGAGTAAAAAGGATAGATACACCAAGCAATGCAAGTGAAAGAGATAAACGTAGTATCAGAAATTTATTCAATGATGAACTCTGGGGCTACGAATGGTATTTAGTAAGTATTACACTTCAACACGAGAGAGCGCTGTAAACAAAATAGTAATAAATACAAATTAAAAAATGATGAATATTATATGAAAAATTTAGAAACATTAATGAAGATACTGAAACAAAACGATTTGTGATCGATAAACGGATAAGAATATTTTCGACATTTTATGTCAAATATTTGCCGCCATATTTACCGACCGATAGATAGACCGACCTAAAGTTACGTTTTTAAATATAAAAAAGTGCGTACAAAGTACACATGTCAGAAGTGTTCTTAGGCAAACTAATTTTTTATGTCTTGTTCATATTTAAAATCTAAAACTTTAGATTTCCGAGACTTAGAGGGAGGGGAAAAGGATTGTTAGGAATTTAATGAATTTAATTGTCGTTAAAATATTAAAAGTGGCGAAAATTAATACAAATTATAAATTTTATTTATTTATTTATTCGATATTTTGCATAAAATACAAATTTATTTATTTCATAAATTCTTATTTATTATTATTCTTATATATTTTTTAATTTTAAAAATAGAATTTCTATAAGGTAATTCGTCCTTCTCACTCTCTCTCAATCGGTCTCAATCGCTCTCTCCCTTTTCTTCGACTAAAACCTCTGCACATCTTCGTGACGCTAAGATTATTAATTATTATTGCGTTTCATCCGTTTCGTTTATAGTCGAAATTCCTCATTTGTACCTGAGAAATTCCATTCACTCACGTACTCACATGTACCGCTCAGAAATGACGGCATAGTGCTCAGAGTTATTTTCTGATATAGTAACAGCCTTCTAAGCGTTATTCACGTTGGTTCATTTCACAGGTATTTTTTGTTCATGGGCTTGTGGTCTATCATGCCCCTAAAGAAGTTTCACTTCAAAAAACGCGCTCCGTTCTCTTTCTTTATTACTACTTTTATCTGTACCTCATTACTAAAAATATATTTTATTGAATTGCAGCAAGATACGCGAACAAATGATATTCTCCCTCGTTTGGATCTCAATGTGCTGCCGGTGTATACAAGGGGGTTCAACGGGCAAGGAGTTCGCATCTCCATACTTGACGATGGTATTGAGCACAACCACACAGACCTTAGGGATAATTACGTAAGATACATTATATATAATATACAAATGTATATAGTATTTTTTATTTTTTTTTTTATAAAAAGGGGGGAAAAGGCGCCCCCCAGGAGGCTCACCTGAAGTTATCACACGTGACACCGCCGCCCATGGACCTCTCAATCCAGAGGGCTCGCGAGTGCGTTGACGGCCTTTTAATATATAGGGCAGGTCCCCCGGGACCCTTCGTAGGGCCCCTTTTCACATTTTTTTTTTATTTTTCTTCTTCCATGAATCAATCATCTGATAGCTTAAATTTATAGTCTAACTACAGATATTCTAATCCCAGAGGATTCATATTAAAAAATGACAAATGATTTCATCTGATGTTTCAACCATAATTATGATTTAAAGTTTAAACTAAATCTGGTACTAACCGAATCTGCCCCATCAACGGGGCACCTTCGTACGCTGTGGGGTAGGTCCGTACGTGCGATTAAAACGACACATATAAATCAAAATTCATTTATTAGCAATGAAATAAAACACAAAAATAAAGCTTTAACTTCTATTAAAGAAAAATAAAATACTTTTCTTATAGTGAACAAAAATTACATAGCTTTTCTTAAGTAAAACAAAATTTAATAGTTATTATTAATTTTTAATCTTTGGCGGCGCACTTCGGGGTGGCAGATCATTTGTGGTTTTCCTGTTTAGTTATTTTTTTTAAACATGCGGATAGGGTCGAAACGCTTCTGGTGTCAAAACCGACTACGAATGAACTACTATTTGATGGATTGGTAAATTATTCAAAGCATCTGGTTCACAAGCATCAAAATCAACCTTAATAAAGATAATAAAAATAGGTATTAATATATATTTACATCGACGATAGCAATGATAGCAACACAGGACAAAGTTAAGGCAAATATTAGCAATTAGCACACTAACACAATCTTTCCTACCTACCAGAGGGTTTAGTCAAGATGCCTTAACAGTAGTGCATGTAGCAAGTCGAAAACTTAATTTGTATGATGAAAATGACAGTTCGTGTAGACAAAATATTTTCATACAAATTTAGTTGTACAATTCGTTCAAATGTGCCCCATCTAGTGCTGTCCGAAAGTACCCCACTAACTGAATATCAACAAAATATAACTTATTTTAATATTAATAGGAAAACGTCATAAATAATTAAGTATTGGAGACGTATCTTAAGTATAGTTGCTAGTTACAGATAGAATACTCTACACGAAAACTTATTTTATCTACGGTAACAAGAGACAAAAACATTGATCAAAAAATTACTTACCGAGCGCGAAAACACGTCCATGCCTGTAACTTCACTCTCATCGGTGCGAATTTCGCGAAACTTTGTTGATGTATAGTTGGTACCTCGACTCATGCACACATACAAAAACAAGACTGTACTTTGTTTCGTTCAAGTTTTATTTTGACTGTATGAATGTGCCCCGCGTAAAAAGGGTAACGATCATCCCCTATACATAAACGTTAATTTCGAAACGGATATATTCCTAAATCAACTTTGAAGGCAAATAGGTACTATATTAAAACTGAAGTAATAATAAACATTTTTTCTGAAATCGACCCCAAATAACGCACGTATTAAGCGTCACCACGCCCACCCACTACTACGTCATAGATGCCGTTTATGACCAGGATTTTTTTTATAATAAATGAAATTTTAAATCATACTTATCACATTTGTAAAATGTCCTCCAATTATAAGTTGATAATAATGGCAACGCAGTCCATGAAAAAAATGAGTTTCGTTAATGTTAGATTACTTAAACTTTGCTTGAACATAAAATTAATACATACATAAATTATCCATCATTATAATATGTATATCTCTGAATTCTATTATTTCTCTAGACATTCGAATATGTGGCGCCACAATTAAACTTCGCCTTGTAAGTTATGTTATCCTAGTGAGTACAGTGAAGTTCGAGGTGATTTTGGCGTAACTGCAAAAAAAAAGAAGTGCGAGAGAGGTTGGCCGTTGGAATTTGAAACAGTTTAAGTTAGTTTAGTCGTCATTTTTCTCAATCAATCTCGATTTGATTTCATAATCAAAAAAAAGGGTGCGTGTACTTATGTACGCGCGTAAGAAGTTATACTTCTTTGGCATTATTAATAATACATACGTATGGATAGTTAACCTCAATTGTATTGAAGCACTTAGGAAGGTTGATGAGCACAGTTTTTTCACAAATATTTTCTAATATTAATTAGTATTGATTTAAAATTTAAATATTCAATTTAAATCACTTCTGATTATAATTCAGACGCACATATAAAATTCTCACTTGTAAAATGAAAATAACTAGGTATGTTTCATAACCTTTTAACTAAGTAACCTATTGTTACTTTCCAATCACTGTCTTTGTGAAAAAGCATTGCTAAATTTCTTTGAAAAAATAATTAAAACTCCTTAATTTGTTTAAAAGGTACTACAAATGTCATTATGGTCATTTAAAATTCTTGGCATAGCTGCTAACGTCACGCATATTCTATTTCTTTTGACTTGTAGATTGTCTTATTCCCATCTCGCTCGCGCACGCTCGGCGCCCATACTGAAAATTTTGTGTCACGGTGCGCGCGCATCGTAAAATTTCACTCTCATAAATTTTTCATAACGCGCCTAAAGAAGTATAACTTCAAAAAATCTCTTATATGATTCATTCATTCAATAAATAAACTGGATAAAATATTTACCCTAATATTTATAAATTATAAAATATACATACCTATTCTAATTTCTCTATTTACCTTAAATACTACTTACTAGATGGCGCTAGTAGTTAAAAGTGGTTCAATAATATCAACTTACATGTTACACGTTATGACTTATGTTATCCTTATACTTTTAGTAAATTTATCGACTTCCAATGTCGGCGGCGGCACTAAAAATGTTTTTTTGCTTTCGCCATTAAAAAGCACTTTTGGAATTTAATCTCGGGGTTATGTGTTTTTTTTAAATTGAGTAATATTTCTGCTATTGTAAACAAGAGGTAATTTTTACTCAAATTCTACCAAAACAAAAGACATCAATCGAAAAAGCATTTAAAGAGGCTAGAAATAAAAAAAGTGTTTATTCGTAATTAGTTAATATGATGCAATAACAAATTTTTAGATTTGTAAGTATGTAAAAGATAAATTAAGGGCTCTTAACTCATCCATAACTTACGTAAAAAAAATGTATGCGTGTACTAGTTAGTGCACACACGTAAGAAGTGAAATAAAACTTCTTTATGACCTTATTTTACGAAAAATGATCTACTATATTATGCAACTTTACAGAAATTGGTTAAATAAAGTTAACTTAGATAAAGTTTAAAAAAAGGCTTTTATTATCATAGACATACCTAGATAGAATAGAATAAATAAATAGAATACAAATAATACAATTATTTCATTCTACCTTATTACTACTAAGATTATTACAGAATTTCATTACATACATTACTAGCCGTTTCGCGCCCGCTTTGCTGGACGAATTAAAATAAATTTTATGTTTCATTATTTTATTTTTTTTCATATTTTTATTATTCTTCTTTTTAACTTCCCGCTAAGAAAATTGAAATATTTCGAAAATCGAGTTTTTAACAGATGTTGACGTTTAGAGGTTCTAGGAAGCCTCCCCGAATGTTTCCGCGGTGAAGTCCGTATGGATAAATTTTCATAAAAGTAAAACAGCAATAAAAAAATGAAGGAACGTTGGAATTTAATAAATAATAGCCATAAACCATCTAGGAAAAAATTCGCATCGAATGGTGGTAGTTTCATGTCGATACGATCAGTGGTTTAGGTGTGAAGGAGCCTCAAACGAAGACCATTTTTCTTTTATATATATAGATTACATAATTATATTTTATGACATATTATTATTACTATCATTGTTATCGTTATGATATATTCTTGTTTTTAATATAAATTTTATACATTTTATGAACGCACTTACACGGTTTTTAACATAAATAATAATGATTTAAAGGCATAATTTATATATATAACTAAACATAATACTGCAATATTAATTAAATATAGCTTGAAAAAAATTATCTAATATATAACAGTACGTTTCGTTAAGCCTGAAGTTAGTTTTCAGAGGTAGGCAAACTTCACAAACAACAAAACTTGGAATAAACTGGATCCGAAATCGCAGGACAAGAAAAAGATGGCGCGTAACGGAAAAATGTGACGACGTCACGTGACGTAATTTTTTTTTCAACGCCGATAAAGAAGTTTCACTTCAAAAATTCTCTACACGTTTTCTGGTTTCATGACTGACCTTTTTTATACTTCTCGTATCCTAGTAACTTCGCGGCCGATGCGTCGTTCACGATGCGGCGAGATCGACGTGATGATTTTTTATATTTTTAAATAATATTTTTGACACCATTCGAAAGAAAATCTAAATCATCAAAAAAATAGTTGTTCCCTATCCTACAACTTTTAGATTTTTTTGATAATACAAATAAATTGTCAACTTCAGGGTTCGAAAAGGTTTTGTTTGAAATTCGGTAACCCCTTTCACTATTTTCAAACCAAATTATTAAAAAAAATTTTTTTACTCATTAAGGTCAACAATGTACACTTATGAACGTCAAGGCTGACTAACACACAAATTAAGTATTTTTTCTGATTTTCAGGATAAAGAGATTAGCTGGGACTGCAATGATCACGACTCCGATCCATTTCCAAGACCGGACCGGCAAAATAGTAACTCGCATGGAACCAGATGTGCTGGAGAAGTAACTTTTAATTGGAACCATTTTATTAATTGTTTAGTTTCAATCAGCGTCTACAAATTAGTTATTATTGATATGAGGTTTTGTAGAATTGTGAAAAATTAATTTATTTACAGATCGCAATGACTGCTAACAACGAAAAATGTGGTGTAGGCGTGGCTTGGGGAGCGAAGGTGGGTGGAATCAGAATGCTCGATGGACGAATAACTGACCGTGTTGAAGGAGAGGCCTTGGGTAAGCGAAACATTAGGTCATTGTTGAAAATTATATTTTAGAAACAACTTTTACGGATCCTCTCCATAAGGAATCATTTTTCCTGTCTTCTCAAAATGCTCTTCTCAAAAATGCTCAAATCAATAGTAGTGCCTAAACAAACTAGTCTGCACTCTGCTGTATTGTATAAAATGTTATTAAAGATATAATTCTCATTTCCTTGTAGTTATAGGTTCCTAGTAATTCATCTGAATAATGACGTAACAGCATAAGAATCGCGAGGGCGCGGCCAAAGTAAAATACAATTTATTTTATTGCGCTATTTTTCCTGTTCTCCCTCATGCACGGCAAATAAATTCTTCTAACTTGAAAAACCAGCATTGATTTCTTTGTAAATTTATAAATTAGGAACTTCAATTGCACTTTGTCTCTCTATGATTATTTAAATTATTAATCACGAAAACAAAATACATATGGTTTTGATTTTTTAGTTGGGGTTACAAGTAAGTGGTGACCACGACCACAGTAGAAACTCCATCGAAATCACTCGGCTTTGGTTGGTTTAGCTTGTCTTTCATACAATGATACACTCTATAATCTACATAGCATTACCCACCCTCAATAACGACGATTAAATAATATTAGGTCCTTACATATGAAATTGGCGTATTTCGTACTGGCCACTTTAATCACGATGTACTCCTCTTTGGTAAGGAATTCCAAATTCAAATTTGTACAGCTTTTTACTCATGTATTTGTGCTTCGATGACCGTCATTCATTTGTTTTTTTCTTCTGTTTTTTTCTGTTTGCGTCACTCATTTTACAAAATGGAAAACTTAAAGTATCGCATTATTTACGAGTACGAGTTCCGCCGTGGCACTAGTGCTGCGGAAACGACTCGAAGGGTGAATGATGTGTATGGCGGTCATGTTGCAAAAGAAAACACAGTTCGATTTTGGTTCCAACGTTTTCGTCTGGAATTAGACCTGCAGATCAAGCCCCGTGGACGGCCTGAGACCCAAGTGGATAATGAAGATTTGAAGGCTATTGTGGAAGCGGATCCATCGCAAACCACGTCCGAGTTAGCTGCAGGCTGCGGTGTTAGTGATAAAACTGTTTTAATTCACTTGAAGCAAATTGGGAAGGTTAAAAAGCTTGAAAGATGGGTACCTCACGAATTGACTGAAGCAAATCGGCAAACGCGCGTCGACTGCTGCGTTACATTACTGAACCGGCACAATAATGAAGGTATATTATACCGAATCATTACCTGTGATGAAAAATGGATTCTTTACGATAATCGGAAACGCTCAGCGCAATGGTTGGATCTTGGCCAGCCAGCCAAATCCTGCCCCCAGCGAAAATTAACCCCAAAAAGTTACTTGTAAGCGTTTGGTGGACTAGTGCCAGTATTGTTCATTACAGTTTTCTCAAATCTGGCCAGACTATTACGGCTGATGTCTATTGTCAGCAATTGCAAACCATGATGGAAAAGCTAGCGGCTAAACAACCTAGGCTGGTCAATCGCTCCACGCCACTGCTACTTCACGTCAACGCTAGACCACACACTGCACAACAGACGGCTACCAAATTAGAAGAGCTTCAATTGGAATGTCTAAGACATCCTCCGTACTCCCCGGACCTTGCTCCAACAGATTACCATTTTTTTCGAAATTTGGACAACTTCTTGCAAGGGAAAAAATTTAACTCTGATGGGGCAGTCCAAATCGCCTCCACAGATTTTATTGATTCCCGTCCGACTGTTTTTTTTAGTAAAGGGATCAATGAACTACCTATGAGATGGCAAAAGTGCATAGAAAACAATGGTTTCATACTCTGATTAATTAAATATATTATATTTAAAAATATTCGACTTTTTGTTCCTCCCATACAAAACGCCAATTCCAATCACAAAAAATTTGTGTAATAACATATTCAATTTTCACCAGAGCCAAAAAACTTTATTAATTTCGGAAAAAATTAATATGTCTGATATCTATATTGCTACCATTTTTGAAACATATATTTATTTAACTCCAGTACCATTTGCAATGTAAACTTTTTATCCAAAGTTACTATAAGTACGTGTTTGGTAGTTACAGCAAACAGTTTTTAAATCACAAACCTTTAAAACTGTAATAAGGAAGAAAAATGTACGCGAAATATTATCAATTTACAGGCGGTAAATATGCTGTATGCAGTAAATTTATGTATTTGGTACTTTCAATTGCAATTCAAGATGTAAGATTAGTTTATAATTATGATTAGATCTAGAAATGCAGTGGGTCATTTGGTAATGTAATGTTGGTTGAAATAAAATGTCGTAAATGGTAAAAAAACCAAAACTGTAGGTTCCTAAACTTCTGTAAGTAAACGAATGTAAATCACACGCCCTAAATTTAAGTACGTTAAGTTTTTAAATGGGAAGAAGTATTTGAAAGAAAATCGTTTTCTTTTGCTGTAAGTGCAAAATGTCTGAAATACTAGATTTTGGTCTACATACAGATTTAATCTTGCTAAAAATAATATAAGTACGGGCGTTTTCAACGGCGTATGTAATTTTTTTCATCGTAGAGACACAGGACCCAGGTATTCGATGGGCTTTTTTCTGATTCTAATGGCAGGAAAAAGTCACTTTAGGTATTTTGTCTATTAAGCAAATTGTTTCTACGTCGATATGTAAGGACCTAATATAAAGTACCTTTTAAGTTGCCGAAAATTATTTAAACTGCGGAGCTTGTGTACTTTCTTCGCTTTATTGTCCTAGCCCGTAATAAACTCGACTGTCAGCATCATACGCATAACTACCGATCTTTCTAAGAAATCCGTTCTTTTGTTTACAAATTGGGATTGCTTGCACGTGCTTTACCACGAAGATGCCTCAATATCGCAAGATATGAATAAAATAAGTAAAAACCTACATCATACATTTCTGCAGCAAAATACGTCAGGCGAAAATAACAGACATACGCAATAGCGTTCAAATATGAATAATTTTTTATGTACATAACGAACACTAGTCTGAAATAAACTTTTTCTTTTTCTTATACAGATAGAGAGATGTTTTTCTTCTTTCCATTTATTAAGCGACAACTTTCCAACAAACGCCATAAATATTTATTTATTTATTTGCCACAGTCCTTGATATGTCGTTATATAGAGTTTAAACTGTACTAGGAATTCATAAATTATTAAAAATGTATCCTAATAACAAACATCAGCAAAAATGAAAAAATGAGTTTTTTTACCGTCGCTACAGCAACTGACTAATTACGTCATTCCTTATTAGGAACACATAAAGTACACAGTGGTTTCAATTCAGTTAAAGATTTTTAATTACGTTCTATCTCAATTTACCAAATAGAGTTTCAATACAGATTATGCAAAATCTTAAATTTACAGACTACTATTTTTTTAAGGATTTGCCTGGGATAAAGTTGATATCTATAGTGCTTCATGGGGTCCCAATGATGACGGTAAGACCGTCGAGGGGCCTGGTAAACTTGCCCTTGAAGCTTTTAAAAGAGGTGTGGAGCGTGGGCGGGGAGGAAAAGGAAATATTTATGTATGGGCTAATGGAAATGGCGGCGGACACAAAGATAATTGCAATTGTGACGGGTAAGTTCCTATAGTAGTAGTACTGACAAAATAAATTTTAAGTATTTTATATCCGCATCTAACTTTTTTTAGTTATTCTTCAAGCATCTACACGATATCAATAGGCAGCACCTCCCAACAGGGATTGTTTCCATGGTATGGCGAGACGTGCTCATCAACTCTTGCTACTGCATACTCTTCTGGTGCCTATAAAGATCAGAAAATTGTAAGTCTTCTCATTTTAAATTACAAAAAAAATATTTGTTGTTGCATTAAGTTTGCACGCTATTTAACAGACGTCCAACGATGTAGGCTTATATCTCTAAAAGAAAGAGGTAGCAAAAATATCAGTCAAAAAATGACATCTATCTCCTTCAAGTGTTGTTCGTATACACCTCATAACTCTGTCCTTCTTTAACTGAGTAAAGTTGCTGAAGTTAAAACGAGATGGTTATATTTAATTTGTAGGTAACAACAGATACGAACGATTCATGCACACTTGGTCATACCGGCACATCGGCCGCTGCTCCACTAGCAGCTGGAATTATAGCTTTGGCACTGCAAGCGAAGTACGTTGTAATATTTAAATAGCGTTTTCCAGCTATTTATGAGAAAGAATTTGTTTAGAAAAATGATTTTTTCAGTCTGAACTTAACATGGCGGGACATTCAACATATAATCGTCTGGACGTCTGAATATGCTCCATTATCCTCGAATTATGGATGGCAAACAAATGGGTTAGCACAAATATATTTTAGAATAATTAAAAATGTATATATTTTATTCATGTTAGTATGTTTTTTTAGAATTGGATTACGTTTTGATGTTCGTTTTGGGTTTGGTCTTCTGAATGCGGACGCACTTGTAGCAACAGCTTTGAACTGGACGACAGTGCCAAAAAAGCAAATTTATGAACGAACTTCTGCGTAAGTATGATGTCCTAGTACTTTATACGTTTGTTACATCAGAGGCGTCTTTACCATGGATTCTCGATTTATTTATTAATTAATTAATTAATTATTTATTTAATTCTACCTATATATCTCCCCCCGCACAATATTATATTTGAATTAATTAAAGTCTGCTTTGTTCTAAAGTTAGTCTGCTTTGTTTTAATTGTTTCAGACACTCATATGGTGAAATATCATCTAATAAACCTATGGAATTATTGTTAGCCGTGGAATGTAGCGTGAAATATTTGGAACATGTTGAGCTGATTATTAACATACAATACACTAGACGGGGGGCTTTAGAAGTGTATTTAATTTCTCCAATTGGTAAGAAAAATACTTTATTAATTTAGTCTTGAAGTCTGAGTAGTAAGTATGTTTGAATCAAGGGCGTCGCCAGTCAATTGTCAAGACGGGGCAGTAGAAGTAGATATTGTATAAAGCAAGGTAGAGCTTGCTTAATACGTTGTCTGTCAAGAGGTAGGTAGAGTCTAGGAGTCAGGGTAGCTGCCCATTACTTGAGTCATGTACAATAAATATAATAAAGGGGGGCAGCTACCCTTACCTACCCCTTCCTTCTAAACTAGTTCGGTCCACGTATCAAAACTCTATCTTTGTCTATATAGATAGAACTTTCTATACCAGCGCCTGTAATTTGTATGTACTCTGTTACTTCCAGACAGCCGATACCGATCCCATCATTTTTGTATGTTCGATGTAGTTAGTACTCACAATATCCGTAGCGCCCATCCATCCTATCCTTGGTTTTTAGATCAGGGTTGGCTGTCGGTAACATTGGAAGTTACTGGGATCACATAAGTTTAGAGTAACATAACTATGACTCTAGCTAGGGGCTTGAAACAAAATCACTACAACGCACTAACTCCAAACAAATTTGTATGTAAACGGTCACGTGACAAAGCGTGTGCTGTCATTCCCATACAAATTCGTTTAGCGTTTAGCGTTAGTGACCCACTTACGCCTGGCGCAAAATATTTTGTCTCAACTATTTACACTATTAAGTTGCCAATCTTAACTAAATTTTAACTAAATTTCAAGTGACTTAATTTTTAATAACCTTTACACGTAAAAATACTAAATAATTAGTTAAACTCATTTATTCCTCAAATGACGACCACAGAACAAAATATTATAGGATTTTCTCTTCCTATTGGGGATTTACTGTATTGTATGCTCCAATACATGATTGTGAAGGTTCTGGGGACTCAACGTAATACGTATTTGAAGAAGGCGAAGGAGTAAAACGGCTACTATTATTCATTGGGGAAGGGGTTCTACTACTGTTCATTAATTGTTGTATACGCATATCGGACAAAGAGTTTTGGATATGTTTTTGAGCTTCCACCCAAAGCAAAAGCATAGCTTTCAATGACTCCCCACTTATGCTTTTCACTTAAATTTAACTAAATTTTGCCTGTCCAAACTGTCAAGTATTACCACCCCACCAACTTAACCGAAAAATAGACAAAATTTATTCTACCTTGTTTAGTTGCAACTAAATTTTAACTTGCAACTTCTTACTAAATTCACTGTTTACACGGGTTAAGTTACATAAAATTAAGTTATTATTTAGTAAATTTTTAGTCAACTTAATACGTGTAAATCGGCCATCAAGCTCCAGTATGCCCAAAACAGATTTGATAAACGACATTCCATACTAAGTGCTTGTCTCGACTCAATTAGGTTAGGGCGAGACAGTAAGAGTATTTTAACTTTTTTTAAACCATTTCACAGGTACCAAAGTGCAATTACTGAGCCCTCGACCTAAGGACAACTCTTATAAAGGATTTGTGAATTGGCCCTTGACCTCTGTCGTAACATGGGGTGAAAATCCAAATGGGGTCTGGAAGGTTATCGTTCACGATTCGGTAACAGCTTATTAAGATTTTACAAACTAACTAACTGTTCTTTGTTACCTTGAGATCTCCGTTTTTTATCTGGGATTTTGAATTTTTTATTTGAATTTATTATTTATTAAGTAAGACAAATGTGCGAAAAGATGAATTTTTGTTTACAGACAAATGAAAATAACGTGGGTAATGTGGGACCAGTTCGCCTCATCATACACGGCACCGAGGAGATGCCCCATCATATGAAAAGGGGACCAAGAAAATACATACAAATTGCTAAAATTTTTGACGTAATCGATTCAAACGAAACACCAGGGCTACAGAAGTCTGCAGAAGATTACGGAACCGGTTATATGGACGAGGAACTGTATAGAAATTATCATAGTCGATATTTCTCTAACTAGTTAAAATATTATTTTATCTGTATATATGAATGACACTATAATTATCAAACCTAAATCAGATTAAATGTACAAGCCAATATGGTTTCTTTATTTACAAAAATACAACGCAAAAATTCAAGAACAAAGAATAACACAAAGCCAAACGGCTAATTGATAATTATTAATTACATATTTGCATTAAATTATCGCTTTATGAATCATTAGTTATTTTTAACAATACAAGTTAGGTTCAGGGTCGAACCCTGGTCTTGGCGAACACAATGTATCTTTACAACACAGAATTGAATGAATTTAACGCTAAGATTTGAGAGAAGAATTGCTTTAATAATGTTGAAATTTTTTCGTTATAGACCTAAACCCTACATTTCGTCATGATCGTAGAACAATGTCGGATTCGAAAAAAATCCAAAATCCACTTTTTATCATATTTGGATACTACATTGACTTAATATTACGGCTACATTACAAAAAATCCATGTGTTTTTTTAAAATTTCAAATTAATCAGTCGGTAAAGTGACGGATTTGATAGGTACGCTCATAGAAGCATGTTTCTAGGAAACTGTGTAATTTAATGTTATTATTTTTATTTTTTTTTTTTTTTTTTTTTTCCCCTTTTTTTTTGCGGGGGGGCCCTTCCCCTCCCTTTTTTTTTTTTTTTTTTTTTTTTTTTTTTTTTTATTTTGTGTATTTCGAAGTCACTGATTAAACGAATTAATGTAGTCACGATTTGAAATAAATTCGTAAATTTTTGTATTTAATGAAAATAAATGTTTATTCAATAAATAGTCATCGTTATCTGGAAAAAAATCGTAATATTTTTTTATCATTATGACATACATATTTAGTTCCTATCACAATCTGTTCTTTTCTGCATATTACTTTTACAAAATAATGTCGATGTTTCACATCTGCCAGGCGTCCCGTGATGGCTCACATTTTTTTTGAAATGGCTGCCGTGCTGTAAAGTTTACTATTTGTCAGATCCGTCACTATTCTACCACTATGGCGATTTTTTTGCTTTGTGTGGGGGGGTACCTTTTTAAAAAATTAAAGGGGAAGGGGGGGGGGGGGGGGGGGGGGGGGGGAGAAAAAAAGGGGGTTGTTTTTGGTTTTTTTTTTTTTGGGGGGGGGGGGGGGGGGTGTTGTGGTGTTTTGGGGGGGGGGGGGCTTTGATTTTCTTATTTCGTGATTACGTCAATAGTAATTTTTTACTTTTCCCCCAAAAATAACCAAAAATTTTTTATGGCTAAAAAAAATGATTCCTACAAAAAATTAATATGTTTATGCACTATTATTTTGGGCGAGCTTTGCTTACTTTTTGCTGACAAGAAGGGGGGGGGTAAATTGCAGTAAATCTGTTTACGTAATACTTGAACGGCCCCGGGTATACAGTACTATAATAAGAAAGAAAGTACTAGCTAAAAGTCCATCAAAGAATAATTTATTTTATTATTTATATTATCACTTCTTTTTCTCAAAGGGGTGGGCAGAGATCACGAACCACTTGCTACGGTCCTAATATATCTCTCTAGTTTCATCCACTTTCATGACGTGGTATGCTCGTCGGTTGTGGGTACTATTAATTTATCCCACCTCTAGTACCTCCTGGATTCGGTCCAGGTATGTCCTACCCAACTCGACTTCACCATCCTTGTATATCCTACTTCACACTCACGCTATTTGTACAGAAATAAAAATCAATAAACCATACTTAATATTTATTACCATTCATCAAACCATTTACATTTATCACTTTCAACCATAAACCCCAGTTCTCTAAGTTCTTGCACCATGAAATCATCTTTAAATATATCGATCTTCCGCAACCACTCCTCAGTACTAATGACGTACTGGCACTGTCCACCATATTCTGGTGGGAGGTATTCAGGGTCTATATGCTTGTGGAGGGAGGTCATGTCGTAGCCGTGGAAGTGGAGGCGGGCCCACGCTGCAGTTGGTATAAACTGCTTGAAGAGGCTGAAGAAAGTGCTGATAAACCAATTGTAATTCACCACGTGCACCGCGTGGATGTTGATTGGGAAGGATACCTGGAAAGTTCAATTTTATATGACAAAAGAAGGCAACACAAATATACAGTATTTATAATTTTCCTAACCTAGGTAGGTACGTAGTAATAATAATTAAAAAAAAGTGCGTGCGTACAAAGTACACGTCGGAAGTGAAACTTCTTTGGCAAACTAATTTTTAACTCTTGTTCATATTTATACAAATCCTAAACTTTAGTATTCCGAGACTTAGACAGAGGGAAAAATTAAGATATGTTAGGAATTTAATTGTTATTAAAATATTTAGTGTCGAAAATTAATACAAATTATATATATTTTTTTAATTTATTTCTTCGATAATATAACACGTGGCATTTTAATTTACAATTCGTCATTTGAGATTTCAATAAATTATTTTGCATGAAATATAATACTAATATTTCATAAATTCTCTTTACGAAATTTGGATTTAAAAAAAAAAACTACAATGTAATTCGCCCTTCTCACTTTCTCTCTCAATTGGTTTCAATCGTTCTCTCCCGTTTCGATAAATGCGCTGCTCATCTTCGTGACGTTCCGTAAAAATTTTACCCTCATCCGCCTAAATAAGTTTCACTTCTATAATTAAAAATTAATAAAAAGAAAAATAAAACACGTTTTAAAAGTTTGGTCCCTGTGGCAGTGTACATTTAACGCTGGCAGCATTGCGTATTGCGATACTAAGGGGAGATCTATAGTGCGCACTTAGACTTTGCTCTGACTTAACTATCGAGCTAAGACACAGTCGGTATTTATAGAGCAAACTACGAATCTCTCCCTAGTGTTGCTTAGCTTATTCTCAAGTCCACAAATCGACGACTTACCAAAAACTTTGATATAAATAAAAAAAATAATGGCCCAAAATTTTTTACCATCATATCTTTTACTGGACTTTTTATTTTTGTCGGTTTTTAATGAACGGTGTTGCCATTTGTATCGGAGTTCCATAGACTTTGGGAAAAATAATTTGAATTCAAAGAAATTATAAATGATCTTGATAAATACCAATGAAATGCATGAAATAAAATAATTACACATTATTATGGTATTTATTGTTGTTTATTTATATTATTTATGTAATTGTTCAAACCCATTTTTAGAAATCTTAAAAATAACTGGTGTGATTTTGTATGTCACCTGGCAGCCCCTGGCAATTGGCATATTATAGTGAAACGATTCAAACTATAACCTAACCAAAACATTGCGATCCGTTCAAAGTAATAAAATTATTGTCATCTTTAAATAATTAATACATTTTCTAAAGTTACTCGTGGAATTTCTAGTTATTGCAATAATAAAATAATGAATACATAAATAACAATAAATTGAAAAATATATGTGTACGGTTTTAGATTTTTAAATATTTGTTATCGTAACTTTTTTAAAAGATAATAAACAAAGTATTGCATGAAATGAAACATCAATTTGTATTTTGACATTTCCGTCTTAGATAGGGCTTCTTACTTCTATAATTAAAATGTCTATAAATAAGAAAATAAAACACGTTTAAACGTTAGGTCCCTAAGCAAAGTTTTTGTAATTTAAGTCTGAGCAAAGTCCAAGTGCGCACTATTCGATCTCACCCTAAGTCATTGAGCGAGGAACGCACCAGCTCACCGGTACTATCAACCAGGCGCCAACTTGAATCTTTAATAAGCGCCTGTGCACTTGAACCCTACGGTCCAAGGGCCTCTACTCCAAAGGGATCAAAATCAAAGTTGGAGAGAGATTCTTATATTTGAGCCGTTTATTATTTTCCGGCCTACTGTGGGACCCCAGTTTTTGTGCTTGTCTTTGCCCATAATGAGAAATTGACCATAGCCAATTCCCCAGAAAAATGACTGCCTCATAATGTCCTACTGGAGTGGTCCTTTTAAGACCTTATACTGACCACGTAACTTACAAATAATAATAAATGCGACAAAACAAATTAAATTACAAAATTACGATTTTTCATCTACTTTTGAATGTAATTGTTTATTCAATTAAATATTATAATTACACACCCCCATTAAAGCTACAATCTGTCCAGCCACTGTCCTCGTCAGCTTACTAACATGCCGAACCCCTAAACCCTCGAGGTCCACAATAATAGTGACTCCGAGGATCTGTAGCCTGGGCTGCATGGCTGCTATTTCATCCATGATTAGTGCACATCGCACTACGTCTTCTATTGGTATCTCCTCGCTGTCCCAGCGCCCTGGTAGAAATACCTTTTTGTTAATATAAAAAAACGGTTAGTTATCTCTTGATATTAACTAAATTTATTTAACTACAGTTAGTTGTTTATCTTTTGAATTTAATTCTTAAAGTAATTTCAAATAAAAATAAATTTAATTCTTAAAGTAATTTTAAGAAAATATTTCGTCCGACAGCTTAAACTCACCGAACCTCATAAGCGTGATGCGGCCATTTTCAGGACTATCGGGTAATGTGCCTGCATACACATTCTTCACTTTCTGCAAGCCGAATGCACTGCAGTCATACAAGTATGCGTTTTTACGTCTAAAGTCTTCATATCGGACCATCTGTGAACCACGGATATAAGGAAATCTCTTAAATTGTACGCAGTCCAATGAAGCTCCATTTAAAATAATATTAAATAAGCTTATTGCAACTTATAGGCCAGTTATATTATAAAATCAGAGTTTCTGTAAAATAAAATGTTGTTTATTTCGATTACCAAAAATAACAGTAATGTTGTAATTTGTAAGTCTTGCTTCAACGGCCATGATAACGCACGTATTCCAAAAATATGAAAGCTGCTAAATTATATTTCTCAATTCGTAACCATGCAATTTGCGAACCCCGCTGTAACGATGGTGATTATGGAACCTTGTCCATTGTACTACAAAAATGTGTAATAGCGTAAAACAACACTTTAAATTCACTACAGTAGTTACATTACTGTACATACACTTTCCCTGAAATATCATTGATTGAATGATATTTGAAAAAAAAATCCAAAATGTGGCGATTGCAAATAAATTCTATCTCTCTTTCTATCAAATTGGGTTTATGCTGTGATGAAAAGAAACAGATGATGAGTTTGTATTAACTGGCAAGACACAAACCACCGACTTGACTATAAAAACGATCAATGAACAAGAAATGTTTTGGCTCTTAAGAACATTTTGTATACATGGAGGAGAGACTGAAACGCCAACGACGAGATAATATATCCAGTCTCTTTAACCGTATAGTGTTGAATAATGGAAACAATTTTATTAGAAATGGAAAGGGAGTCAAGGTCTGATACGGTTAATGCCTGGTGCCACTTTACACACCGCATGTTCACTGTTTAGCTTTTGTCGACACAGTATAATAAGTCTTTTGTCGTTTTGACATCCCGTAGCCTCCGTATGGGTAAATACATTTTTGCGTCTGTTTCTTGAAAAACAGGTCTGGTGGCATAGACGTCTCTTGAAATAATTGTTGTTTTACGGAGAATCGAATCATGATCATCATCAATCCATTTAAATCTGGTAAATCTTGAAATAACGCATTTTATAATGACTAGGTATGTATAACGTGTAGGGTACAAAAATTTCTTGAGAAATAATCGTATGAATCAATCGCATCATTCAAATATTTAAAATAAAATTTTGTATATCATTGAGGAATTATATGATTTCTTAGTAGTTAGCATTATTATTAAACAGATTTATTTATACATTACCAATTTATGCGCAAGCGCCGGTATAAATCTCCTACACCGAAGGAAGCGAAGAAGGTAGGCGTCATCCATTCGGCGAGGATTACACATGCCTCGCTCTAAAATTATAAAAAAGTGTGGTTACATGTCGCGTATCCCAAATATTTATTAGGTAATTATATATGAAATTGGCGTTATGTACTGGGAGGAAAAAAACTCAAATATTTTTAAATATAGATATATTTATTAATCAAATATGAACCCTATGATTTTGTCATTGAGTATAAAAAAAAGTCGACGGGAACAACAAAATCTGTGAAGGGATTTGGAGCAAAAAAAATTTTTACTTTGCAAGAAGTTGTACAAATTAAAAAAAAAAATGATAATATTGTTGAGCAAGGTCCGGGAAGTAAACGGAGGATGTCTTAGACTACAAATGAAGCTCTTCTAATTTGGTGCCGTCAGGTTGTGCAGTGTGTGGTCATAGCGATTGTCGTGAAGTAGCAGTGAGCGATGTTGCGACAGACCATTCCTATCTTGAATATAAGCAGCTAGCCTTTTTAATATGCTTGTTTACAAAGTGACTTACAATAAAACATCCGTAAATTTTAGTTCATTCAGATTTTAAAAACTGTCACAAGGAACTTTACTGTCACTATTCCACACAGAACCTTACAAATATTTTTTGGGGCTAATCTGAAAGAGGTCAGGATTTGGCTTGATGGCCAAGTACTAACCATTATGTCTGAGCACTTCCGATTTTACTAAAGAATCCATTTTTCATCATAGGATTGATTCGGTACATACATATACTTTCATAAATGAATTGTGCACGGTACTGCGTCAGTAATGTAACGCAGCAGTCGAGCGCGTTTGCAACGATTTGCTTCAGTCAATTCATAAATGGCTCCGACCGCTTCTCTTTAAACTTAAAATGGATTCTATGTTCAGCAGCCTGAATCAAAACAGTTTTAATGCCGTAAGACCGCGGCCTGCAGCTAAAATAGACCAAACGCGAGTTTGCGATGCATCCGGTTCCACAATATCCTTATCTTTCTAACCGCATTAACCACTTGGGCTCAGGCCGTCCACGGGGAGTGATATGCAGGTCCCCATGTAACTTCTCAGAACGAAAACGTTGGATACCTAGAAAGAACCGTGTTTTGTTTAATACATGACCGCCATCCAATTTTCACTTCATTCGAGACGTTTATGCCGCATTGCTTACTAGTGTAACATTTGGCGGAACTCGTAAATCGTAAATAATGCGATACTTAAGTTTTCCATTTGCAAAATGAGTGCCAAACTGTTTAATAAACAAATGAATGACGTCATTGAACCACAAAAGAATGAGTAATTCGCGTCGTACAATTATGTGACCGTCGATTCTACCGAAGAGGAGAAAATCAATTAATGTGCCAGTCCGCAAATAACGCCATCTTCGGTTTATTAAGGACCTAATATAGTGTAAATCATTTTGTATGGCTAAAAGAATGGAAAGTCTCGCAATACAGCGAGGAAACGCCCATTGTAATTTAAGTACCCTAACAAGTTTATGCCCAGTTGACCTAAACTTTTTAAACTTGTTCTGATTTTCAAGTATGTTCTGTAAGTCCAGATTTTTATTATTACTCTTATAGTGATTAAGAAATTTAGCAGAAGAGTCTCATGTTTTGTAGCAATTTTAATTTAATAAATATAAGAACAAATGGCATCTTGTGCTTCCTCCCAAGCGTTAAATGTATATTTGGTTGGGAGACACCGGTTCGTCTTGATTCCAACGCCTTTTAGTGACCGTGCTGTTGTTCATGAAAGATGGAGTTTTACTAAGTTGCCCGGAGCATAACATTTGATTAGGGACTTAACTTTGTGACAAATGTTTTCTAAAAGGTGGACAGAACTGACACAGGCCTATGCATTGATAGTGTCCTTTGCGGTATCACTTAAGATCAGATGACCTCCGGAACTAGTTTCCCGTGTTCCATAAAAAGAGATCTTACGGAAAGACCATACTCCCTAAGCTCTTCGATTTGCGACTGTCTTTTTTAAGGACTCATTGCAGGTCCGTGCTCCTCCTCAAATCCGGGTCTTGAAACCTGCTAACTAAGGCGCAATAGATGTCGATGATTACGCATCATTCAAATATTTAACAAAATTTTGTAGATCATTGAGGAATTATATGATTTCTTAGTAGTTACATAATTATTAAACAAATTATTTAATAGATTTAAACTTTATGCGTCAAGCTAGCCGGTATAAATCTCCTATCCAACAAGGAAGCGAAGAAGGTAGGCGTCATCCATTCGGCGAGGATTACACATGCCTCGCTCTAAAATTATAAAAAAGTGTGGTTACATGTCGCGTATCCCAAATATATATTAGGTCCTTACATATGAAATTGGCGTTTTGTATGGGAGGAACAAAAAGTCAAATATTTTTAAATATAATATATTTAATTAATCAAAGTATGAACCATTGTTTTCTATGCACTTTTGTCATTGATCCCTTTACTAAAAAAACCAGTCGGACGGGAATCAATAAAATCTGTGAAGGCGATTTGGACTGCCCCGTCAGAGTTAAATTTTTTCCCTTGCAAGAAGTTGTCCAAATTTCGAAAAAAATGGTAATTTGTTGGAGCAAGGTCCGGGGAGTACGGAGGATGTCTTAGACATTCCAATTGAAGCTCTTCTAATTTGGTAGCCGTCTGTTGTGCAGTGTGTGGTCTAGCGTTGTCGTGAAGTAGCAGTGGCGTTGAGCGATAGACCAGCCTAGGTTGTTTAGCCGCTAGCTTTTCCATCATGGTTTGCAATTGCTGACAATAGACATCAGCCGTAATAGTCTGGCCAGATTTGAGAAAACTGTAATGAACAATACTGGCACTAGTCCACCAAACGCTTACAAGTATCTTTTTTGGGGTTAATTTTCGCTTGGGGCAGGATTTGGCTGGCTGGCCAAGATCCAACCATTGCGCTGAGCGCTTCCGATTATCGTAAAGAATCCATTTTTCATCACAGGTAATGATTCGGTATAATATACCTTCATTATTGTGCCGGTTCAGTAATGTAACGCAGCAGTCGACGCGCGTTTGCCGATTTGCTTCAGTCAATTCGTGAGGTACCCATCTTTCAAGCTTTTTAATCTTCCCAATTTGCTTCAAGTGAATTAAAACAGTTTTATAACTAACACCGCGGCCTGCAGCTAACTCGGACGTGGTTTGCGATGGATCCGCTTCCACAATAGCCTTCAATACTTCATTATCCACTTGGGTCTCAGGCCGTCCACGGGGCTTGATCTGCAGGTCTAATTCCAGAACGAAAACGTTGGAACCAAAAACGAACTGTGTTTTCTTTTGCAACATGACCGCCATACACATCATTCACCCTTCGAGTCGTTTCCGCAGCACTAGTGCCACGGCGGAACTCGTACTCGTAAATAATGCGATACTTAAGTTTTCCATTTGGTAAAATGAGTGACGCAAACAGAAAAAAACAAATGAATGACGGTCATCGAACCACAAATACATGAGTAAATAGCTGTACAAATTTGAATTTGGAATTCCTTACCGAAGAGGAGAACATCGTGATTAAAGTGGCCAGTACGAAATACGCCAATTTCATATGTAAGGACCTAATATATGTAATACTTTCCTGGCTCAAAGAATAAGTCTCGCAATACAGCGAGGAAATGCTGCCAGCGTTAAAGGTACACAAGTTTGGTGCCACAGGGACCAAACTTTTTAAATTTGTTTTGATTTTCTTCTTTCTTCTTTAATTATTTTTATTATTACTTTATAGGTTAAGAAAATTGTAAATACTGTATATTTTGTGTAAATTTTAATTTAATAAATATAAGAACATATATGTAATATATGTATATATATTGGTTGGAAGGTTGGGCTCGATTCCTAACTTATTATTGTCGGCAAGGCGTAGAAGGTTCACTAAGTTGCCCGGAGCATACTTTACTGATACGGGACTTAGAGTTTGTGACAAATGTTTTTTAAAAGGCGGGAAACGCACTAGCGAGCCCTATGGCATTGAAAGTGTCCATGGCGGTATCACTTAAGATCAGATGAGCCTCCTGCCAGTTTGCCCCCTGTTCTATAAAAAAAAACAACTTACCATAGACCATACTCCTAAGCTCTTCGATTTGCGACTGTCTTTTGTAAGGATCCTCATTGCAGTTCCGTCGAGCTACCTCCTCAAACTCCGGGTCTTCAAACCTGCTGATCTCAGCTGCGAATGCGATGTCGATGAACGGCATACTTAGGTTTGTATGAAGCCAAAGCCTCGGAGATCAATGCATCTGTGAGTAAAATAAAAATAGAAAGGAATTGTTTAATCGATTTAAACTCTTAGGCGGTTATTCTATCCTAGTATTTACTATCCAACTTACTATGATAACATGGACTTCAAATATAAGAAAATAAGGCCGGTCAGACAAAAAAGAGACTGAAGCTGTTTGTTGTTAAGCTGCATTTTACAATGCAAAAAATATATGTCGAATTGAAAAATTTAAGTCATTTTTTATTCAGTGCGGACCCGACGTTTCTGCATCTTAGATATTGTTATCTCCATACTGATGAACTCTTTATTGGGATCACTGTCAGTATCGCTATTAAAAGTACCAAGGGTCGCTGATGTGACGATAATGATAACCCCGTATATTTAAATATAACATCGAGTTTCTTAAATAATTAATTAAATTCCTGTATCAGTAGAATAGCATTGCAGTAGGAATTAAATAATTGCTGTTCCATGCGTAAAAAGCTAAAAAATCGTTAAGGTTTTAATTAGTTTTTAACTGAATTAAATATTAAACAGATAAATGACCATTTATAATCCGTTTTAAACTAAAACTAACAAGTTTTATGCGTTACATTAAGATTTTGACGCATAACCGTGTAAAAAGTCTAACTAAAGACTTGACCTAGCTATTTCGTTCTAAAGGCTGACCACGTATATTTTGCAGTTTAATGCTTTTGTTTTCATTCTACAGTATGTTACAGTCACATCTTTGACATATTCTACTTGAAGCATAATTAATCACAGAGGGTCATTTTATTGACCATATTGAACATATGGTCATACTCGACTCTGTAGTCTGTGATACCCTAAGTAATGCCAACCTCCTTGCGATTCTTAATCACTTTTCGAACTCACCCAGCGGTTTTCGCATCGGCGGTCGCTCTCAAATCAGTCGTGAAGCAGTCATTTTATGATTTGGCATTCTGATAAGGTGGGAGCTTGTAGTTGATTGTTTATCAGAATGCCAAATCCATAAAATGACTGCTTCACGACTGATTTGAGAGCGACCGCCATCGAAACCGCTGTGTGAGTTCGAAAAGTGAGTTACAGAATCGCAAGGCTGACATCGACAATTAAAAATTTTCACACCTTCAAACTAACGTTTAAATAAAGAACACCTTGTTACTAACGGTTCTTTGACCGTTTTCGGCACGTTTATTATGGAGCGGTGATAGTGAAAGGCATAAGAAAGTGGTCCCTTTACTTTTTAAAGACGTACTTTTATAATAACTACTTGAGTACTATTATAATATCTTTGTATACAAGCTATATCAATAAATTTATTGTAAAGAGCCTTAACTAGAAACATTTTATGATGAAAATATATATTATACAATATGGAAGGATTTTTAGAAATTAATTGGAGTAGTCTATCAATCTATAATTTAAAATGTAGGGAATCTCTTAGAGATAAATTCAAGGAAATTAATATACTTACCTTTCCCTCGCAATATATTTGAAAATATTATGTATAATATTTACAAAAATAGTGATAAGTTTAATAGAATAGAACATACGCACAATGTTAATACTCGGAACAAACGCAGGCTGCAATTTCCCCGTAAAGTTAGTATGTAATTCTTTTTTGGTAAAAGGGATACTCTTCTTTAATAAAATCCCAGAGGCTCTTTTATCTCTGCCTGTTAATAAATTTAAGAAATGTATTAAAGAAAAGCTGTGTAAAAAGGCTTTCTATAAAGTTAACGATTATCTAGTTGATAAAATGGCCTGGGACTAGTGCTAGACAGGCTACTTCTAATTAATTTGCGATATTTGTTTTAAAAAATAAGTGTTTTAAAATAAGTATTTAGATTTATATATTTTTAAAACCTAGTATTGTTTCGTCTAGTCGTAGTCTTAAGTAAAAAAATAGAAGACAAAAACAAAGTGTCCCTTAATAGAGACTGTACGTTGTGTTGGACTCTTTATGTTAAATATTCTTTTTAGTAAATTAGGTTAGTCTTAAGTTAGGCTAGATCGTAATGTTCCAGTTCTAAGTGAAGGCAATGTATTTAATAACAAGTATAGTTTCAAAATTATTATAACTGTTAATATGTCACGATATGATAAATGTGATAAAAACCAAAATAAACGATTTAAAATAAGGTCAACGCGTTTCAAAGAATTAATTTAGTTTTGATTTTAATAAATATTGTAATTTGTCATTAATATAAATAACGGAAACCTGCAAGGGTAACATATAGTATATATAGGTAACATATAGTATGTATAGGTATAGTATATATATACCTACGATCGATAGCCTGACGAGGTTGAAGAAGTTGGTGGCGCTACAACTTTTTTAGGTCAGATTTATGTATCTGTTTCATGATTATTGTCAATCCAATAGGCAAATAGGTGATGAGCTTCCTGTGCCTGACACATGCCATCGACTTTTTTAGGTCAAGCAAGCCGGTTTCGTCATGTTTTCCTTCACCGTTCGAGCGAATATTAAATGCGCACATAGAATAAAAGTCCATTGGTGCACAGCCGGGGATCGAACCTACGACTGAGGGATGAGAGCCCCACGCCGAAGCACTAGGCCAACACTGCTCTTTATAATAATATAATACAAAAACTAAAATGCAATCTCGGCTTGCGTAGCGAATCTACGCGATTAAAAACTCATTAATAAAACATTAGTTTGGAATCACATCAATGGAAAATGAAACAGAAATTGCTGTGCGATGGAGAAATTTAAAAATTGCAAGTAGCACACATTCTTAACTAGCATTTAAAATCGACATACACTTAGCTGGTCGGGGGCTGATACGTACAGATAGTTGTAAGTCCCTGGTCGAAATAAAAATGAATTGTGGTAGGCCTTATGTTGAATGAAGGCTCGTGTGTTGCCGGCCTTTTAGGAATAGGTACGCTCTTAAAGGACTCAGAAAAAGAAAGAAAGAGTGGCAGAGAGTTTCTTGCCAGTTCTTCTTGCACGCTCTACGCCCTTGATTTGAGAACTGGCAGTAAATATAAAATTAGAAGCATTTCATATGTATTTCTTTTTGTCGTTCATAAGTGAACATTGTGTTATATGAATAAATGATTTTTGACTTTTGAACTTTATTAAGTAAACTCACGCACACACAAATACAAATATTAATATAATATTTTACTAGGGTAAGCTGTTGATGGTATTTTTCTGATTGGGTACTTCCGAGTACCTTTAAAAGCGTTATTAGTTAGTCAGTTATTTCTGAACCATCGTTGGTTGCTTTGGCCTATATGGAGCAGCAAATAAATAAGAAAATATATCATCATAATTGACTATAATTTACGTGCAAGTCTTATCTCTGTTACTAAATATAATCACTATTTAAATGTTTACGAAACGATTGGCTGTTTATGCAATTCGATGTAAGATATAGCGGCTATGGTATATGCAAATATAATTATATTTTCAATTTTACTATTCGTATGTAGGTTAAGAAAATTGTAAATACTGTATATTTGATTGGTATGGTTAGGTTTTATTAAAGATATATCTATTATATATTATCCCTTGTTAAATTAGTGACATACGGCGAATATATTTTTGTGTCTGTTTAATTAGTACGTCTACCAATTACCATTTGAATTTTTAGTTTTAAGTAGTTAATTCCCTTTCTGTTATGACAGTCGATGCGTCAGTTGACAAAAAAATTTTAACCACTTTATATTTCATCGTCAGATTTTTGTTTTATTCTTTTATTAATAATAATAAATTCGTGTATAATGCTTATTAGTTGTGTGTTCAATGTTAATTCATACAATATATGTTAATTCTATAAGCCTTTCAGGCATATAGAACCCATACAAATATATTAAATAGAAAACCAAACTGGCGATCCGTCACAATGCGGGGGTGACCAAACAAAGTACTTCCACAGGTATTCCGCAACATAATATTTTTACTTTATACAATTCTATTCTGGGACCCATCCCGTCCCTGAAACTAGTTTCAATGCTATTGCGTAGGACTCTAAATATATATCTTTACATAATATATATAATTCTACTGTACGTGTGTATGTCACTGACCTCCTCTTAAACGGCTGAACCGATTTGAATGATTTTTTGTATGCGTTTGGGTGGCGCTCTGGATGGTTTGAATTCACAAATCAGCCCGGCAGATGGCGCTGCAGTCGGTATCTAGGTTTACATATTTATTGGTTTTTCAGGTACGACCCTCGAATGGCTGAACTGGTAGAGCTGTTGGCGTGTAACCAAACGATCTGGGTTCGTTTCCCAAAACATTGTCTTTCATTTCATACTTTGTTTAAGACCCTAATCGCTTGAAATATCATGCAGGACAACGTCTGTCGGGTTCGCTAGTACAATATAAAATAAAGTGCATTATAATATCGATCGTACTTGCACAGGATTATAAAAAAAAAAAAATACTTTCCTTTTCAGTATAGGACAGGTTGAGAAGATGTTGTTTAAGATTGTAAGTGAATGTATAAAGTTTTGAATCGCTAGTGAAAATTTAGTTTTTAAGAAAGTGGTTAAAGATAAAAATTAAAAAAGAATTAGCTTTTATCGTATATTTCTTGATCTTGTGTACTATTTAGACGTACGTACAAGTAGCAGTTTAGTTTAATTGTCTTTGACTTTCCTTTTTAGCCGAACAACTTTCTTTTCAGACAATTTATTGATATTGGAAGATTCTTTTTTCTCGTTATTTTAATTATGTAAACACCAGACCAAGTTACATCAACAGCCAACAAAAGAGGACCCATCAAGATACATCAGGAAAATGCATCGCTTCTAACAAAGAAAAATGGATTCAGATGGCCGCACGAACCGAAATAATTATTAATTCATAATCAACTGTATCAAATATAGTTTTAAAATGCATGCTTTATACATTTAAAAGTATCATGTATCATTGAGTCATTACAATTGGCATGTGTGTGTAATACACCATTGTGTTAGGCCAATTAGTTCTGTATCGAACCATACAATGAAACA